AAACATTTCATCAACAAAGGGAATTAATATCATATCAGCTGTCCTTCCATCTGCATCAGGTTTAAATTTGGAGGTTATAGCTATCTACCTGAGAATGTGTATTACAATACACACCTGGGTTATTGTTTGACAGGTCTTGGATGCTATTAATATCACATCAGTTTACCTCATGCGTTATGGATCAGTATTGATATAGGATGGGAGTTTTACTTTTCTGTGGACCTTTTCATGAATAAGGTAAGATAAGTACATATATATGCGGTATGTGATATGTATAACATATTGTGTGCTGCCAGTCTCTGTAAAAACACTTTCAGAAAAAAAATGTTCATACAGCTATGAATACAACGAGATCAGTGTCATTTTGTCCCTTTTCCCACTTCACATGATGTGATACATGTACCATTGTAAATAGCAAACATTCAGGGGATGTTCTGCTGTCCAGAACAGAAATTTGTATATAAACGGATATCAATTGTACTAATGAACCAGACAGTTAAATACAGAAAACGTTAGGGAATAAAATATTTAGATTAATTATGAATTGTTACATTAAGGAATAAAGTATTTAGATTATAACTTTAGAATATAAACATGCATATTGAACAGCAGTTTCATGCAATTATGAACACAAGTAAGTTGCATACATATGCCATAAAGCCAGGTCTTATGAAATAAGTTTGAATCAACTTGCTTTCATACCAGCATAAACATTGAAAAATTACCATTCAATCCCTTATAGGCTATCTCTGTATACCAAAAAAAGTAAAACACAACTGAAATACCATGGGGGTGATTGCTATCAGAATGATTTCCTTGGTAATAGACTCGACATTATAGTACATACCACATGTCATTTCATTCATAAAGCAACTGTGTTCCCTCATATTATACTAATAACTCCTGATTTTGTTTTTAAGTTATGATGGGGCCTATAATTCTAAAGCTATGTGGGCAAACAATAAACAGTCAGCCATATGTGTAATGTAGTGTTAGTTAATTGGTGTAGTGTAGCTTTAATGGGGGTAATAATTATATAATAAGGGTTCAATTTTAAACATTTATGATACACATACTTATACATTGTATTGGTTTTCCCAAAGGAAATTTAATGAAGGAAGAAAATTGTAACCCAAAAAAGTAATTATTGTTAGTAATGGTGAACAACAAAGAACCATCTTTATATGTGGAATAAGAATTCCGCTGGTAACTACAAACATGCATTATATATATTCAGACGGAATATTGTTATAGACTGCTATACGATTTAACTCCAAGAGAATTAAATCCAATGAACTTAGATTCAAGTTTTTTAATGTCAATTGAACATTGTGTATTTATTTACATACCAGTGGGTTAATATTGTAATCTTGCGATTTTAACTGCAGATATCCAAGTGTTTGCTTTAAACATAGATTTAAATGTGATAGACATTTTATTGTCAATATTGACCTGGTACCGGTGTATATACAGGTACACACTCGGCTAAGTTTATACACGAACAAGCGTTCCTTGAACGGCTAACAGAGTGTTCACACATTGGTACTAATTACTGTAACACAGGAATGTTTTACCTTTATCTTGTCCTTAAAGATCCCAGTTCCACTGCCAAAAACTGCAACTAGGAATTCAAAACTTTTTACCTGCATAACAATAGCTTTCTTAAGTCATTTCTGAAAAGAAAACCTATACATTGCAGAACTTTTTGTAAGTAAAATAAAATGAATAAATATGAACTTTAAATATTTTACAATGATTATTAAACAAGTTATTTCAACTTATATTAATCACTCTTGTTGGCCCGGATGTTATTGCCCAGGGGTCTAATTGTGGGAGGAAATCAGACTACCTTGAGAAAACCCATGTAGCTGAACAGGTGACCCCATATCTTTTCACGTCTGATCGTGGAATCAAACCCTGGCCGCCTTGATGAAAGGCCAAGCAGATGCATTATCCATAGCGCCACCTGACCACCCAAAACGATCAAATAGACGATAAAGATAACAACAGTGTCATGAAAGTAAAAATTCAATGGGGGCAGATGAGGATTCGAACCCTGGACCTCTGATCACAATACAGTCATCCTAACCTACTCAGATATCTAGACAGTGGTAGTTTCCTGGTCGAACCAAATTACGTTTATATCCAATACAAAATTAAAGGGAGGTTACTGTATACAAAAAAAACCACAGTGGAATTCTCTTGTTTTGCTTGCCGTAGGACAGGGATTCTTAAATGAGAGGTTAAACTCGGCACAATTCCAAAAATTATCTATAAAGTAATGCAATTATTAAACGACAGGAGGCACATGGAATTGTAAACATGAATCAATGCGATTCACTTTTAATTTATGTAAGGTTCCTTTCAACAAGTGACGTCTCGGCTATCGATTGAAATGACGACCATACATATATATGAGAATATATCCTAGCATGCCATAAGTGGATCAGCCTCCAAGGTTGAAGTGATTTATTGAAATTTGGTACTTTTCCATTAATTTTGATTTTCTAAACAAGGTCATTTATCTTCAAGATACTTCAACAAAAGCTAATATGCAAACATACAAATAAAAACTGATTTCTTTAGAAAGAAATTTTCAATTTAGGTTTAACTTTTGATGAAAGGTTGAAGGATTTAAAAGAATATTGAATTTATTTGTACTGTCAAAGCTCAGGGCGGATGGCCTTGGTAAGGTTTTGGGCACACATTTAATTTGGACTGTATTTTGTATACAGTGATACACACATCTTTCAACCTTATTAAACAGTGTCTGTTGCTGTTGTGTATTGTTACCAGTATATTGTATTACATTCCTCTTTTGTGAAAAAATAATCTTTGAATATTTACATAAGGGAGCATCATATAATTTCTGTGTCAGATATGAGCTTTTAAATTTTAGAATATGTAATAAAGCAGTTTCTTATTCATGGCAGTTTAATGACTAGTGTAGCGTTCCATTCCTATCCAAATTGTGTGTCGTAGTTCAGCCACACTGGTAGTACTTTGGATCACAAATCTATAGTATAAAGCAGATGAAGAAATGAACTACAGTATAAATTAATGCTAATTAATGATAAGGATCCCTGTCCCTGTGTTCTCTTACCTTTATGAAGTAACTTTCCCTTAACCTCCGTTTGATTATAACTGTAAACTGTAGAACAATGGGGCCAGGACACTTCTGTCGAACAGGTAGCTCCATCAGTTGGAGCCATTGCTTACCAGGGTTCAGGGTTTGAATCCAGGTCTAGCCCCACATTGTTTTTTAACCAGAACACTGTTGTTGATTATATTTTGTTTATTTCATCTTGATTATTTCTCATCAAAGGGGACGCAAGGTATGGTTTTCTTTTCAGAAATAATTTATCAAAGCTAAAGTCATGTCAGGTAAAACAGTTTCCAATACTCGGTTACAGATTCTGGTAATTATACTGTTTAATTGTGTCACTCATCCTCAGGGATGCTGTAACTCTAGTCACCCACACTGATGCGATACTGCCCATAGTAGATCATCGATATCTGTTTGAAAAATTTATGAATAAAACTTGAAAACCTTGTTCTACAATAATGTATATTGATTGAAGAATCATTCCAGATAGTCAAGTCAGAACGAAGAATGTTGGATGGAAATTCCAGGACAATAATCATTTCAGCCATGCTAAGGGTGACTTGAGGTTGGGACATTCACCCCTGAAATTTCATAATAAACTACACTAACCTTTGAATTGGAAGAGTTCAAATGTGTCTTCAGGGGTGAATGAAATGGTTGTTTGATGTTTCACTTCATCTTAGGACTGATCAGGTGTGTCACCTCACAGAAATTTCTATGTACACATCAGTGTACAATTCAATGGTATCATTGATCTGGTGAAATTGCTGCAGCATTAATCAATTTTACAGTGTATTACTTTTCCATGTTCTACACAATCATCTGGAAGGATTAACTATTTCTGTTGAAAAAAATATTGTCTTTGAATTCATCTGGTTTTGAACAATTGCTGTAATGTTACATAGGTATGTCTTTTTTCTGAATACTGATGAGCTGTAGGAGTCAAACCCATACAGATTATAATGCTCTACTGATCATGATTGAGTTAAAAGCAAATTCTCTCTAGCCAAGTCAGTAATAAGTGTAAATGACAAAAGGTCCTAGTTTTTGATGCTCACCTGCATATTGACTCCTTATTTATAGTACTCACATGAGCATTGACTCCTAATTTATAGAACTCACATGAGCATTGACTCCTAATTTATAGTACTCACATGAACATTGACTCCTAATTTATAAAACTCACATGAGCATTGACTCCTAATTTATGGAGCAAGATCACCTGGGCATTAATTCCTAGTTTATAAACTAAAGCTCACCTGGATTATGACTCCTAGTTTATAAGTTAAAGCTCACCTGGGTTATGACTCCTAGTTTATAAATTAAAGCTCACCTGGGTTATTACTCCTAGTTTGTAAAGCTCACCTGGGTTATGACTCCTAGTTTATAAGTTAAAGCTCACCTGGGTTATGACTCCTAGTTTATAAAGCTCACAATGGTTATTGACTCCTAGTTTATAGAGCTCAAATGGATACTAACTCTTAATTTTGTTTGTTAAACATCAATATTCATAAGATAAAAATCTATTGTCAATTAGAAATATGAAAACAGTATGACTTGCACATATTTTTGTGGTATCTACCACTTGTATACTGCTGTGCTTCCACCTGTTGTCTGGCAGTGAGGGTAAGTGGAAGTTTACGCCCTCGACTACACTATGTACAGACTCCCTGATAATCTTACATAGGCAAACATACTCTATACCTACCTGTTATCAGTCAGACCCGTTACCTCAATGGTGAGGCAATCGATCCATCGATCAAGATTTAATTTTTTTGAGTGACACACTTGCTACATTCTTGAGTCTTGGAAACGTAGTTAACCAATGAACAGAATTATCAGTGTAAGGCAGTTGTGTGTACGACTTGATACAATTCTGTGACTGTGATAGGAGTGTGGGCTGTAGCTAGGGGAGTTTGTGTGGTGTGTGGATACGAGAGTTACGGGGGCTCTCCGTAGTTCCATGTTGTTACTTGAGAGACTCGGGGGGAATGGCAGACTTGTTTGTACCTGTGTGTGGACAGTTATTCTGATGAGTAACTGTTTTACACCTATGTCATCCTAGCCTGGAGTTACATGTATTCGCCAGACTGAAGTGTCGTCTATCTCTGCATACAAATATGTAACCAAATTCAACAAGTAACTCTTTGGTGGAATTGGTGATTTTGGATCGTGTTTATAATAATGTGTATTCATATCATGGATTTATAACGATAGGAACATTTAACTAAGTGCTCAAAATGACAGGTAAATATCATACATATCCAAATATAGTTATTAAGCAACACTGTTTGGAGAAGAAGTACAAGATTATAATAAGTCATGAAATTAGCTGTATTTCTGGTATCTACAGTTCAAGATTTTACAGGTACCAATATAATTATATATACTATTTTGTGCTTTTGTATATGTAACATAACTGGACTGGGTCATTTGCTGGTGACCAGATAACTCAATTGATAGAGCGTCTGTCTAGAGTTCAGTGGGTCCCGGGTTCAAATCCTGGTCTGGCTGTGCATTTCAGCTTTCTCCTTTTATATTTGGTGCCCAACAAAATATACCCACAGAAGGTGGTATCGGGTTTGGTGTGTCTTTGGGGTCAAAGACTTTGTTAAAGGAGGGAGGGACGTAGCAGGACCAGACTGGGTCGATCGCCAGTCAACCAGCTAGCTCAATTAGTAGAGCATCTGGCTAGAGTTAGGAGGGTCCCAGGTTTGAATCCTAGTCTGGCAGTGAATTTTGTTCTTCTACTGTTACATATAAAGCACAATTATCAGGTAATTTATGGTGATGTAACTGACTTTATCATAATTATTATCAAAACAGCTTGATAATCACAATTACCAAATTTGAAAGTTTTTGTTAAAGGAAATGAGTTTCTGACTTTTAAATGAGAGGTATATTAGAAGTAATAGACTATAATCGTTATATTTCATGTTTAGAATTACTTAATATACAAGGGAGGTGCTGTAAACAACCTACTTAAAAATTACTCCTTTATGATGGAATCTCAGGTAACCTACAGATAAGCTGACATCTTACATATAGGAGTCGATAAAGTGATGTTTGATTAAAGATTACATCATTACCCGGTGCATATACCTGCATGGGTGCTGACAAATAACGGCTGTTCAGGTGATTGATAATGAGATTGTACGGTCGTGCTGCACATACTAACAGGTGCTATACAGGTGTATACTACACTGGAGTACATTTGATTAACAATAAAGAGATCAACTACTGGTGATCTATTTTATATAATAGTTCTACTTTTAATGATAGCTCAATATTTTATATCATGTTTGCCTGCACTTGAGCTGATATTACACGTATTATCATATATACAGACCCACTATTGGTAATCCATTTTATAAAACAGTTCTACTTTTAGTGATAGCGCAATATTTTATTTTTGTTTGCCTGTACTTGAACATGAATTACACATATTATACAGACCTGCTATAGGTAATCTAATTTATGAAACAGTTCTACTTTTAGTGATAGCCCAATATTTTATTTTTGTTTGCCTGTACTTGAACATGAATTACACATATTATACAGACCTGCTATAGGTAATCTAATTTATAAAACAGTTCTCCTTTCAGTGATAGCCCAATATTTTATATTTTATTTGCCTGTACTTGAACATGAATTAAACATATTATACAGACCTGCTATAGGTAATCTAATTTATAAAACATTTCTACTTTCAGTGATAGCCCAATATTTTATATTTTATTTGCCTGTACTTGAACATGAATTAAACATATTATACAGACCTGCTATAGGTAATCTAATTTATAAAACAGTTCTACTTTCAGTGATAGCCCAATATTTTATATTTTATTTGCCTGTACTCAAGCAGGAATTACACCTATATATCTTCTGGAGAAACACATACAAGTCAGTTTCTGATCATGATAAACATTCTTGGAAGGAGCTAATAGGAAAAGTAGAAAGTAAAACTATATACCAGGGTAACAAGTTTGTAGGTCATTATCATATAAACATGTTTATCATCTTTAAGTCAAGTTTTCATTTAATACTCATAATAAATATTTTACTTATTTCCTGGTGTAAAACTCTTTCAGGAAAAGAAATACATGTACAGGGTATCACAGTCATAGAGTGTTTACCCAAAGTGTTGTGTCGTCAGTCCAAATAACAACTTTAGTGTGTCAATTTTGACCGATTTACATACAAAAATATAAAACGAGGCCATATCTATGTTTTAGGTGGTCAAATTATAGGTGGTCAAATTGTCAATTTTGACCACCTGCTGCCTCTTATGGATTATCCTGGTCATATATATTAGACAGCATGTAAATCTACAATGACAGAAAATCTTGATATCAATCAAATCTGAATTCATTTTGTGGGATAAAGACAGATCCTAGTATCGTTAATAAAACCTGTATATCATAGCTGTTCAGGTAATAGCTGGTTCATCGTTGACTACCCCGAGCTCCCTGACCCCTGAAGCTTTTAGAAATGGACTGTCCAAAGAATCGAAGTCACTTTGGGTTCCATGAGGTGCAGAACTGTTTACTTGATCTATAGGATATTCATGCTTGTTTGTTTGGGTTTTACGTCCAATTAACAACTATGGTCGTTTAAGGGCGTACCAGGTTTTGGTGGTGGAGGTCAGCCGGAGTAAACGGGTAAAAACCCACCAACCTGTGGCCAGTACTTGACGACTGCACGACATAGTCCTCAAACCACGACCCAGTGGTGGAGGGCTAATGGTAGCAGAATGTCAGACACCTAAACCACTTGCCCACCGCAACTACTGCTCTTCATATTTGAAATTTGTGATTAGTTTAATGCTGGTTTCAACATTTCTTGTTATAAATCCAATTCATTGGATTCATGAAACATCCAATTTTTTTCCCAACATAAATTTCCTTACTGGAAAGAAACTGATTATGTTTCTTAGAAAGTCTGGAAGCTTGTCTGACAGATATCAGTATCTGGATGAACACCAACATGCTTAAGCTTAATCAGGAAAGACGGAACTAATAATCTTTTCCCCAAAGTGTCAGCAAACAATGGCTCTCCAGCTCAAGGTCGGTGCCAGAACTATTGAGATTGTTCCAGCTGTTAAAAACCTAGGGTATACTTTGATAGTTCACTGAACATGGAGAAACAAGTGAACGCTATTGCCAAATCCTGTTACTACCAGATCAGGAACATCGGCTGTATTTGGCTGTTTTTAACTGCAGATGCATGCAAGATTTTGGTGCATTCACTTGTTACCTCTCAGTTGGATTATGGATTATGGTAACGCCCTGCTCTGTGGTATATCTCACAAACTAACTAGTCGTCTGCAGAGGGTCCAGAGCACTGCAGCACGGCTAGTTACTCGTACTCGAAAGAGAGAGCACATCACACCTGTGCTTTATTCGTTGCACTGGTTACCTGTAGGAAACAGATGCTTTGGGAGGGTTTCGGCTACGTTGTGGAATAGCTTACCATCTGCTATTAGAAAGTCAAATACCCTGGCCAAGTTCAAGAGGGACATCAAAACTCACCTCTTCACATCTGCATTTTAAAATCTTTGCAAAGACGTCATGTAAATATCACCCTTTTATTTGTTCAATTATGTGCACATTGCTTGTTTAAATGTATAAAAGTGATTGTAAGCCTTTGTTTTTTATTTTCAAAATTATAACCATTACTTTTATCCATATGTTGTAAAGCGCTTTAGAGTAATTTTACAAATTATATAGGGTGCTATATAAATGTTGTATATTATTATCTTATTATTATGTTGAGAGAAACGTCTCTGGAGGAACAGTTGTAACCCAGGGCAGGAACCCTTAGGCTGCATTGGTTTATATTATCACGTTCCAAAATAATTGAACGGATTGAAGCAGAGTTGTTCGTTTATGAAACAATGTCAGACGTAGGCATTTGATGCTGGTTTCAGGTGGGCCTTGACAAAGCCTTGTAAGGCCTGCATAAATTTTTGCAAGTTTGCCAGGACTTATACCCGAAAATATTCCAAAAACACCCAAAATGGTTGAACCGGATACGCAAAAGGGGCCTTAGATTTTCTCCCATGGACTCTACTACAATAAAGGGAGGAACACCTCTGAAAAAAATTAGAAAATCAAGATTATCATATTTCTTTAATCAGAATTGACTTTCTTTTAACAGACGCAGTAACCCAGACATTTAGTGACAAATCGAACAGTGTATTGGACACAAGTTCCAGTGGAGGAGGTGTTGCCATGGGAAACAGTGCATCCCAGGAAGAGGTCCTGTTGGATGATGAGGGGCCTGATCCAGAGGGGACCCCTCCAGTTCCTCAACCTAACAGGGCCAGCTCGAGGACAAGTCTGCAAGGCAGTCATATACATAGAGGTAAGCATACTAGGTAACAGGAAATTCAGTAAGGACAAACAAATTCACTTGTGTTTCCGCTATCATCCTCAGAATAAATAAGGTAGGTAGGTTGGCAATTTTTTCTATTTTGGAAAATACTTTTACTATGCTTATACAGAGTAGGAGTTCTGACTTAACAGTGCATATCACTAAATGCCATTAAAAACTTAAGGATAGACACAAAAATCTAGGGTAGTTGGTTTAGCGGAAACACAAGATTTTATTTAATAAAAAAAATATATTCTTACAAAATGTTTTATTTTTGATCACCATGTGACCAGTCTTTTCAAGCGATTGAAGGATATTCTTGTTCAAGATGCAATTAAGAAATTGAAATCCTAAATACTAAGGTCAAATTTCAATCTTCCACAAGTCGTTAAGTGTTTTAACTAGGTAATCTTCAATGTAAAAAACATATCTATTTAAAAAAGTATAACATTTGTGTGAATCTATCATCCTCAGGTGATTCACAGGATGTGCCAGTGACAGTGACGGACAAAGGGTTCTCCATACCTGAGATCACCATCATAGAGGGGCAGGTGAGTGGGACATTGACCGTGAGATATTAATAGAATATCAAAGTTTGACTTTGTACACAAACAATGTACGTATTAAACGTGATGCAACGTTTCAAGACCTACTTGTCCCTTTGTCAAGCTATGACTGAGTGAGGGATTTGTAATGTTTAACTGTACAATGATGTGATGAAATTGTATATTTCTTATGTTAATCGACCCGGAACGTTATTCCATATACGTAACCTTTATTCGAAACAGTGTGTATACACTCTCTATCGATAGACAAAACAACGCAGGTCATAGCTTGACCAAGGGTCCAGTCAATCTTGAATGTTGCGACACATTAAATATATACATTGTTTTTGTATAAAGTAGAAGTTTGATATTACATATTTCCAAACTGATGAATCTTAATGTAGATATTAGATTAGTAAAATCCTCCCCTACCTTGAGGGTGTGACAGAGAAATGTCTTTCCCATGGGGTGATGTTTTGGTTGTCTTATTATAACTCGAAACTGTGCTGGAGGTTAGACAATTAAATAATCACCCGAGGGTTGGAGATTGCTCTGGTCTCTGTACCAGAAATGATTCTCACATTTTTTTTAGAAAGATGAGTAAGTATGTGTCATTGCAAAGTATCTTCTGTTTCTATAATTATTAATAGCTGTGCATTTACAAGAAAATGGGAAAAATGCAGGCTTTTTAATGAAGATTTTGCTACAGTTATAAAAGTACATTAATACTATTTATTGATTGTATGCTCAATTGTGATATTTTCCATTTCCAGTTTGTGTCTTTCATGTGGGAAGACTCAAAGTCAAAGCTGAATATAGTACAGGTGAGTTAGAATTCATATTATCCATTGTTTGGTCTGTTCACTTTGTTTAGTCCCTGGCGGAATACGAAGAATATTCTGGAGAAATCATATTTGAGACATATAGGGCCTAAGGCCAACAAAGCAACATTATTGCAATATCATCAGTCAAACTGAGGAGCTACTGATGTCGTACAAACTATTTAAAAGTTAAGAGACCACTATTAAATTCCTTTTCTTAATTAAAAATGAGAAATATGATACTTACAATTAGAGGCCATTTTACTGATATCCAAAGGTGGTCTCTGTATACAGGTAAAAGCTCTGTGTGTATTAAGCAAGAAAGCTTAAAACGTACTTCTCAAATCTCATGGGCCTATACATTCTATGTAGATAGCACCGAGGGGAAGTGGGCGAGTCTTTTCAACTAAAATCTACATGTATGCACAGTACATCATGTTGTAAGATACGTATTCTCGGATTGCTCCTCTAAGATTGAGACGATATTGCGATAGTATTACTTTGTTGACACAGAACAAAGTGTTCGGGCTTTTAATCTTTATAATATAATGCCAATGAAAAATAGGTTCTATTCCAAATGCTGTTTCAAAAGTCCTTACCTGGAAATTTAAAACAGGTGTTTCTGGTTAGCACCATTATATAAATAGTTTCGAGAGTTATGACAGCTTGTATTAGATTGTTTGGGGATAGTGTACATAATTCTTCAGATTTTGTGTTGATGGCTTCTGTATAACAGGATCCCTGTGGTACAATTAGCTAACAGATGATGTAGGCAGATACAAAATGATGAAATATATTTGAAACGTGACTTGATCCAGCTGCATGTAATGCCTCTACAACATACATTGTAGTGAACAGGGATGAAGTGTTTGTCTCTCCCTCCGTCCATCTGTGTATCTTGGATGGACTTTGTGTTTAGCTGTATAAGTCTAATACTAGAGGTCCAACAGTTATCAAAATTCATATGTGGATACATCTTGTGGGATACTTTACTAGAATACTAAATGTAGGTCACTGTGACCTATATTTTCTGCTTTATTGACTTTGGTTAGACTTTGTGTTTAGACCCTTTGTTATGATTAGATTTTGCCCTTAGCTCCATTTCTCTCGAACAAGAATGTTTGCATAATTGTGTTTGACAAATATTTTTTAGCTCACCTGGCTCGAAGGGCCAAGTGAGATTATCCCATTGTGCAGCGTCCGTCGTCCGACGTCCGGCGTCCGTCAACTTTTTCCTTTAAAATGCTACTTGTCCTGAATGGCTCAGAGGATTTTGACCAAATTTGGTCAGGAGCATCATTGGCCAACGGGTTCTCAGTTTTGTATAAACGGAGGGTATAACCCCCCTGGGGGCAGAGGGGCGGGGCCAAATAGGGGGAAAATAGGTAAATCTTTAAAAATCTTCTTCTTCTCAACCAATAAAAGGATTTTGACCAAATTTGTCCTAGAGCATCTTTGGACAAAGGAGACTCAAGTTTGTATAAACGGAGGGTGTGGCCCCCCTGGGGGCGGAGGGGCGGGGCCCAATAGGGGAAATAGAGGATTTTTTTTCTCCTGCTATACAAGTGAAGGGATTTTAACCAAATGCAGTCTGAAGCATGATTAGGGACAAAAGAATCAATTTTGTATAAACTGAGGTGTGTGGGCCTCCTTCTAAGGGCAGATGGGTGGGGCCCATTAGGGGAAATAGAGGAAAACATCAAATATCCTTCTCCTTTTGTACCGATGAAGGGATTTTGACCAAATTTGGTCTGGAGCATCATTGGCCAAAGGGTTCTCAGTTTTGTATGAACGGAGGGTATGGTCCCCCTGGGGGCAGAGGGACGGGGCCAAATAGGGGAAAATAGGTAAATCTTTAAAAATCTTCTCCTCAACCAATTGAAGGATTTTGACCAAATTTGTCCTAGAGCATCTTTGGACAAAGGAGACTCAAGTTTGTATAAACGGAGGGTGTGGGCCTTCTGGCGGCATAGGAGCGGGGCCCAATAGGGGAAATAGAGGATTTTTTTTCTCCTACTATACAAGTGAAGGGATTTAAACCAAATGCAGTCTGAAGCATGCTTAGGGAGAAAAGAATCAATTTTGTTTAAACTGAGGTGTGTGGATTCCCCTTCTTTGGGGCAGATTAGTGGGGCCCATTAGGGGAAATAGAGGAAAACATTAAAGATCCTTCTCCTTCTGTACCGTTGAAGGGATTTTAACCTAACCAAACTTGTTTTAGAGAATCTTTGGGCAAAGGGAATTGAATATTTATAAATGGAAGATGCAACTTTGTTACTTGTACTCCTTTGATAAACCTGAATGGTACTCAGCAGGTTTTAAATTGAAAAATAAAATACCAGGTGAGCTATTAAGGCCCCTGGGCCTCTTGTTATTTTTTCCTATAATTGGTAGGAGTGTTTTTAAAGACCTAGTGTTATTCCCCAGCAGGAACGATTTTCATAGGAAAGAATGAGAACGTTTTGATCAAACATTTAAAAAATAACTTATTGGGATTATAATATAAGATGGCTGGTACCATTAGAAAAAATAGCTAAGCAAGGTATCTATTTAAATGTGTTAACTTAACTACATATGCCAGAGAAACAGTTCTTTAAAAAAATAAAAAGTAAATTAGTTTTTCTGAGCTTGTAATAATGAGGCAATATTTCTACATAACATGTTTCAACTTTCACTGAAATAAATGAATTTATCAGACACAAAACATGTAATACATAATTACCAACTTTTTAAAATGTCCATAGGGGAGATTACATGTGCTAGGAATTAAAAGAATAAATAAAATGTGTGCATGTACACCCTAGGGAAAAAATAACACTTTTCAAAGGCATCTTTTGAACTGTTCTTTTTTTATGAAATCATCAGATCTTTGAAAATAGGAATAGTTTAGCAAATCCACATGTTCTAAATGCTCAATTTTATGGTCCAAAATTGGGAGTCTCCCTCCAAAATAGGTCGAGTTGGCAAGTATGTAAATAATAATAGATTGTAATTGTTTTTGAAAATAAATTGTATTCTGTGTATCATTGATGGAGATCCTAAAAAAGGTGTAACCAACCAAAGACATATAGCTATGTCATAATGAGTCGGGCCACACAGGACAGCTACATTTCCAACCTTGATCAGCAGACACCTGAAAAGACCATTTCTTTCCAACTTTGCAGGTGCTTCGCTCGATTGGGATACATTTTACACTGATGGACTACCTAAACACTGCAAAAGCATTTTATTTACTTTTTAGGGTAGCCTCATTTTTAGCTAAGGCGTTAGCCGCAAGCTATTGGTTTTGCTTCAGTTAATGAGCTCAAGATCTTCATAAATGCTGTTTTCACTCATATGCCGCTCTAGCGGTAGGGACTGGTACTAAATTGAATCATATACCGGACCTACTGTCTTTATTATGCATTACTTTGGACTCAAATTCACTTGAATAGCTTGTTATTAAATGTTTCTGTGTAAAGTAATTATTTATAGTCTTAAGGGTTAGACTTTCCTCATTTATACTGGTTACCCAAGGAGTTCAAATCTATTTTTCAAAATCTATATTCTCATTACCAGGAACACATTGACGATTTCTCACTTTACGAGGTGTGGAATGTCACATTGATAATTTCTCACTTTACGAGGTGTGGAATGTCACAATGATGATTTTATGTGATGTTCTGAAAGATTATAAAAGTTTTATGATATTCCCTAAGTGAACACTTAAAATGTATATGTCTACTTGAAACTTGAGCCATTGTGTGGCAGTATTACCTACAGCTATAGGTTGTCACCTGGAAGATTCTATACAGTTTGTACCCTGTTCGAGAGTCCCAGAACTACATATATTGTCTACACTTTTGTTAAGACTGCAGTATTGTATATATAAATATATACATACATGTTCTGTGATCTAGTCCCAGGACAATCACAATGCTATGTAATAACAGACACTGTCATACAGTTGTACAAAATGGGATAGTAGGCTGACCTTACCTACCAGTTATAAACACAGGCCTATCACCAGCTTTTGATCTCACTGGGGCTAGACCATTACATTGATATTGCGATTCAACTTCACAAAATCTCTGCATTTTTAATGAACATGCACAGTTGATAATTGATTGTTGTTTAGAAAGAATGTTTTTTTCAAAGAAATACACTGTACCACGTTGTAACATTCTTTGATGATTCCTATATAATTGGTTTGCTGTTGTCTGAGAGGCATTCAATATTTAGCAGAGGAATGGTTGTGATTTCGTAAATAAGATCCGTTATGGAAGTCTAGCTGTTTGTTGTAGAAATACACCATACACAGTTGTAATGTATAGGATTACTATAATAATAGTAATATACAACATTTCTATAGCGCCCTATATAACTTGTAAAATTACTCTAAAGCGCTTTACAACATATGGATAATGTCTTTGCAAAGAGCCTAAAATGCAGTTGTTAAGAGGGGAGTTTTGATGTCCCTCTTGAATTTAGCCAGGGTATTTGACTTTCTAATAGCAGATGGAAAGCTATTCCACAACGGGGCCAAAACCCTCCCAAAGCGCCGGTTTCCATAGGTCACATTACAAGATTTTGGGTTGCTTGAACGACCCGGCTACGCTTATTTTGTGCATGTTCAAAATAAGCGTGGGGAGAGCGTGCATCTTCCCGACCACGCTCATGGAGATCCTCATACGTTTGGCCCGTGATTGGCCCCGATTGGCCACACTCTTGGCCACTTTTCTATCGTAGTAGAAGCGGTGTCTATGTGTGAATGCAGCTTAAGCATGGAAAAGTCACTAGACATCGTAACATGCTTTCAGTGGTAGACAGTATATACCAGTACATTGTAACGTCTACACTTAACATATTTAATAGGTAAACAAGAGTCAAGAGTCGGGTGTATATCACCAAATTTAAATGTCCAGGTGTAGGATAGAACAGGATTTATATCAAAATCCCCAATATGTTTAATAACAGATAATATTTTCATTCGTGTAATATAGAAGATCAACAGTATAGGTCAAAGGTCAAACAGACATTTAAAAAACCTTTGTTAGGGTGTTTGTCATGTGTCACCTTCTTATGAAAGGAGCAACCTTTTCATTTTCTCAGATCAAAATAAACCCTCTCTGATAGACATGATTCGGACAGAGGTAGTCTGTGGGTCACAGGCTCTCAGACATTATTGATATTGACATTTATTGATAGGTGTGTCTATGTTTTGACAGGATTTTTCGTTCGAGCCCTTTAAGAATCATTCAGCATAGTTGGGATTCCCCTAGTACTGTTTGACTTATACAGTACAGAGTGCATGTTTATTGTAAAGAATATGAACTTAGTGACGATTTTATCCTTTGTTCTTAACATGAAATGATACCTACATGAGCATTTCAGCAAATGATCAGGTGTTAAGTATTATTGTTTTACAAAATAACAGGGATTCCAGTGAATAGTTGAACCCTCTATCATCTCTTTTTGCTTTGTCCTATTTAGTACAATTCTAAATTAAATTAGGTTGATGTTCTCGTTTCATTCAAATTCTATATTTATTTTACATGTGACTAGTACACAGTATTGTGGTCCTGTGGTAGGTATGGGAACACCTCCGTTACACTTTCTTAGCCTCATATGAATCAAATGATTTTGAGGTAATTCTTTGATAAGATATTAATAATCAACAAAATACATTCCGTAAGCTCAGACCAGTATTATTATCAGCGAGGGAACCATCAAAGTCAAAAGGGTGATGAAGACTATTCTGTCTATGATATTGGTAAGCTCTTTCACTCACACTGACCTGCATTAATTTTTCCAAGGGCTGTAATAGTTAAAGAGATAAATAGTAATGTTATAATTGAAGTGTTGGATGCGGAGGCTGAGTCCAAAGTTGGATCAAAGTCCATCAGAAACTTAACAAAACCAGATCCCTATTATACATATGTTATATGGATTGTAGAGTACAAATGATCTGTCCATGATGGTGAAGGTTTAAACTGTACCTGCATTTATTCTATTTGCATGTTGCCTTTTGCAGGTTGTTCATGATGGTGAAAAATTGAGGCCTGTGATTGGTGGATATGAAGCAAAGGCTACAGAGGTCAAAGGTCACTATGACCAACAGTTCAACTCTGAGGGAGAATACAAATTTGCTATGTAAGTTTTATTATTGATTTGCTGAAAAGAAAACTAACATAGTGTGCATGGCTTATGGGTAATGTTGAAGTTGTATTAAAATAAAATGTATTTATTTTCTAAATTTACAGTAAAAAGTCATTGTGCAGAGATAACTATACGTTCCAGCTGAAATGGAATGGATTAAGTATTTGTGCTGCAATTTATTGTGTTGATGATTGAGTTATTTATCTAAAAAGGAATTGAGTATCCTAGTGAAGAGAAAATAAGTGCACATCATTTTACAGTAAAAAATAAAAGTACATTAGAAAATAGAATGATTTGCCAATATTTTGTTATTTTCCTGTAGAATATTCACAAACAGTCATCTTGATATTAGTTAAGACTATAAATATAAGTCCTGTCAACGGAAACGGATGTTCATGTACCTAGTTGACTATTTCTGTAATGGGTATTTTAGTTTGGTAATTTATATGAACCTGTGTTTCCTTTCGAATAATTTGGAAGAATTAATTGGTACATGTATTATGCATCAACATTTCAAAGAGTCGTCAAGGCTTGAAAAGGGGTCAATGTCAAGGTCGTTGAGTGCAGTTTAGTCTATGATATTGATATGCTCTTTGATAATAACTGCACTTTTCAAGGACAAAGACGGTGAAAGATTCGGATGGTACTGTTAGAACCGAAGTGTTGGATGAGGAGGCTGAGTAAGATGGATCGTAGTCTCTCTAAGTGCAGACCACTCACACTCAGCTGTCTTTTCTACTAATATTTTGTCTTCAGATCAGTGTTATTTCGACAGCTATTATCTCTTGTACTGTAAAGCACGTTATTTAATATAACAATTTTGAGTCATGCAACATATTCATGAAAAGTTGAATTCATGAAGTTAATAATAACATTTCTTTCAATGTGTCTGAACAAAATTGAATTTTCTATCTTTGTAAATTTACAATCTATTCAAGATCATGATCTAGCAGTGTGTTCGTTTTTCCAAGGATTTAATTTTTACGATAATTACTCTAACAACATACCTGTGAAAAATACTTCCTGCAAAATTAAAAACAAATTTATTTATTTTTACTATATCATTGTGTGTCATGGCCATTAGATCTAAGGGTATAATAGATCCCACAAAATTTACCATTTTAGCAATTCCGCAAAAATTGAAAAAACATTTCCCTAAGGGGGAAAATCTCTGAAAATACAAGTGATCTACAGTAATAAAGCTGTCTGTATTTGAGAAAACTTTCTGGATGTTGCTTCTGTGAAGCAAGTTCTGACAAGTATTGGCAATGCACTGTGTATATGCGGTTAGCTGATAACCAGCAACAATGTACACTTTTCACTGGTACAGTGTACCTGTTAGTAGCTTTACAAAATCAGCATTTGTGCATTGAAGAAATTAATTATTTGATGTCAAAACTGAAGATTGGAATACTGTACGCCTTGCAATTAGTGCAAACAATTAATTCTGCACTGGTACAAGATTCTTGCAGCTCTGGAAAGCTGCAAAATCTGAATATGAGCACAACTTGGTACCATAACTTAGATAGTCCCACACTGGATTGAGGTTTTGTGTGAAGTCACAGTGTACAATATATGTATATATCACAACAAGAAGTGTTAGCTTCCTAGTGACAGCATGTCATATCGCAAGTCTTCAGTTGGCATTTATATTGCCTATGAATGCCAATGAAAGCAGTTCAATACTGATATTTACAATTTTTAAAATATGTAAATCTCATAGAAAATTACACTTATTATTATTCAGCATTTAGTTCAAATAATATATTTATTGTGTCTACCTGGGTAATGAATAGAACAGCCACTTGTCCAGGGAGGGTCGTAGCCTATATATGAATGCCGACAGATTGTAGTAGGGTTATATAGTGGCAATGCCAAATGATTGTATATGTTTGACTATTTCTATTCTTTTTTCCCTTTTTTTTTGATGTTCATAACTTCTCTTTTTACCATAATTATTTGTTTTGTAATCTAAATGAAATCTTTTTCAGAGGCAAATATCTAATTTTCTTTTTCTTTACGTTTTGTTTTACATTACTTTTAGATAAAACAGAAATCAAAATTAACAGAAAGATTACTATTACTTTATTTCTTTATTTAGGTTAGATAGAAAAGTATAGACTAATGGTATTGTATTAACATACTTTTCTGAATTTATGTACAAAACTGTACATAAACACCACTATGATACCTTTGTTAGAAAAACTATGTAAAAATGTTATGATTACACTTGTCTTGTATTTCATTACATTTATGTTTTTTTCTTTTTTGATTATGATTTTCTATGCAACCTTTATCTTTTGCATAACATCTGTTTTTTCTCTTATTCAAGAAAAATTCAAACAGATTGATGAAAAGTAACATTTTATTCAAATTTAAACAAAACTATTATGAATAAAATCATGTGACATACACATCCTCTTAGAAACTTCCATAAGATTTTAAGCACTTACATTTAGCCAAGTCATATAATACTTCAATTTAAGATACGGTTTACCTTAAAATTAAATTTAGGAATTCTCAAATTCTATTTTATTTTATTTAAACATTGAAATAGAAATTTATTTTAACTTTGAAATAGAAATTTATAGTGAAAAATTCATGACATTTCTACTGATGTTTGCAAGCAGTAATTAACTGTATTTCATTAATGATTACTTACAGTAACGGTATTCGATGCACCCCACTGAGTGTGACAGTAAAGCGAAAGGTGGATCTGCTGATAGAGATTACGGATGAGGGATTCCAACAGGCTGTAGTGTACATAGACCAGGGTCACTCGGTCAAGTGGCACTGGAACGAATGTAAAACACCCCACGCTGTACAGAAGGTGGACTACTCCATAGAGAAGAAATGCTTTGTGAGGAACACCGAGACTTCAAAGTGAGTGAGGTTGTCTCTCTTAGTGGAATTGTTTGTTCTGAAAATATCATTTTTGTCTCGCCACCACGAAGTAGCAGAAGCAAGACTAAGGTGTTGCTTTTCCGGCAACAGCACAGGCGTCAACATAAAGTTTTTGCTTTTAAGTTAGTTTCACTGAAAGTATAAGTGCTACACCAACCAAACCTGGACCATAGATAGATGCATCTTAGGTAGTACATCTCAACCAATGCATCAAATGCTGGATGCAGCCTACCTTTCATGGTCTATTGACTGTCATCATCTCCATCAACATTAAGTTTTTGCGTTTTAGTTAGTTTCTCTTAAACTATAAGTGCTAGACCAACCAAACTTGACATGTGCATTGATGCTCAAAGCGGGGCATAGGCGAGACATATCAATCCGAAGGGCTTGTTTCCTTGAAAACAAGTATTTTATTTCTTTTCCAATTTTGACATCTGTAAAATATTTTGTGATAGTTTGTGAATAATTTTTTGGTAAGATTCTTGATCATTTTAGAACAAAAGCCTACAGCATATTAGGAGGAATGTTTGTGTGTGTTAACGTGCTGTCTGTTTGTATTCTATAGAGCACCAGTGACCAGTGACTCGTACAGAGAAACATTCCCGTGAGTATTAATGGGGCTTGTGTCAGAATTCGTTAAATCGTAGCTGTTATGGTAGTTGTGGACTGATATTTCTCTTATCCTAGACAGGTGTATCCACACTTTTACCGGTGTGAGATATCCTTTTCTCCCGCCCTTCACAGGTGTGTCTCCCGTTTTAGCGGGAAAGATCAGCTACCCCTAGGGGGAGATAGCCTCGTGCCGATTAGCACGTGTTCAATTGTGCGTCATTGAAATGCGTCATCGGTAATTGTGATGTCATCAAAAGTGAATGACGATATGCATACCCCACATGTGTTTTTGTTTACAAACATGGCAGACTACTGTCGATGGAGCTGTGACTGAAATAATAGGATGCGAGAAAAATAATCATCCCCTACCTTGAGGGTGTAATAGAGAAATCTCCAACCAAAAAACATCACCCCTCGGGTGGAAGATTTCTCTGTCACACCCTCAAGGTAGGGGAAAATTCTATTAATCTCACCCTAGGGTTGAGACGGGGGGATTCACCTATTTATAAGAATGGTATGACGTCACATCAACAATACAATGATGTCATGTCAACAATCAATCAACTTCAGGTCAACCCTGAATTTAGCCTGTAACGTTATCATTACATTAAGCATTTATACAAATAACACAAAGTCCAAGTAAGATCAAGATTGTATTGTTCGTTTCATTTGTTTCAAATACAAAAACTACTATATATATATTTACTAAAACAGTTATAATCTTTGGCAATCTTAGGGGCTACTCTGCATGTTTGTTTCGATTCTAGAAAGACAGTTTCTAGATGAATGCAATTTTTATAGTAGACATGGACACTGGGGAAAGCCCAGTATGTCTATGGTTGTATGAAGTACCTGTGGACAGGTGAGCCTGACAGGTATATATATAGATTAATATTTGCATGGTTACTTAATACAATAAGTATAAATATGAAAAGTGTAACTGCCCTATCTCTTTGAGTGAAGTTTGACCCCCGAGGGGCTGAGAGATTCTACTAATCTTTGAAATCTTATATTTTGAAGAAAAACAAATTAGCTAAGAACATAATATTGTTTTACCTTTGTATAATTTAGGACTGTACATAAATGAAATAAATCTAACACATAGTAGTGGTTTATTTGTTTATTTATTTTTTATTGTTTGCAGGAAACCAGGTCTGTTCTTTTTCAAGACAGAAAGCAACAAAGGCATTAATGCTTTTTGTGTGGTACACGTCAGAGAAGCACAGAGGTAAATACTGTCATTACAGCTGATAGATATATAAGTTGAGATTTATAGCAAAACACTGTTACTGGATAAAAAATCAACTTGGAGCTAAACTGGGTTTTTGAGATATTAAGATGTTTGTCTTTAATTTCATTGATGATCAAATTAAATTTGAAGTCCCAATGAGAATGAATTTATTGACTATGCCTGTATTCTAGTGTTTTCAATGTTCAAAATGAATAACCAGATATCTCTATTGAGATTATTTACATGAACTAGGTTCTGTTGCTACATTTGAACCATGTTTTTATATTGTTCATCTGATTCCTAATCCACTGTTTTGTGTTTTTGTTTTAGAGAGTTTCGTGTTGAAATCCTTGACCGATCGTTCCAGCCCATGATCCTGCTGGTGGAGGAGGGTGACCGTGTCTGGTGGTCCTGGGACAAATTCAAGGTACGGTTGGTTAAAGAGAAGTGAGAGATTTATATCATAAGTCTAAATTTATATCATAAGTCTAAATTAAAACATCCATGGGCAGATATCGCAATGTATCAATATTCCTGGGACAAGTTCAAGGTACGGTTGGTTAAAGAGAAGTGAGAGATTTATATCATAAGTCTAAATTAAAACATCCATGGGCAGCAGATATCGCAATGTATCAATATTCCTGGGACAAATTCAAGGTACGGTTGGTTAAAGAGAAGTGAGAGGTTTATTTGTATCATAAGTCTAAATTAAAACATCCATGGGCAGCAGATATCGCAATGTATCAATAAATTGCTGATGAATGAAACCAATATGAACATATCTTGTTGTTGACAGTATGTAGATTATTTTTCTGTGTACAGTGTAAGAAGTCGCACAGTGTGTACCAGATTGAAGCGCCACCTATTGATCAGGACGATGAAGAACCTTACCAGGTATGGTAACATGCATAGTTTCCTAAATATAGGGGATATGACAAAAATGTTTGGTTTCACATTAAAATTTGCAAAATTCACAACAAATTGAGCACGTTTTTTCATTATGGTGAGATAAAAATTAAATTATGACTTAAGTGCTCTAGAACATAAAATTGACAGTTTTACACATTCCTGAAATATTTCTGTAAAATCCATTCAAGGTAGTTCCTAATGTTTCTCAAAACAATAAAAATGGCATGTGAAATATTTCTAGAATACAGTACTTTAAACTTTTGTTGAATTGAAACATCAAAATAATTTGTACAAATAATAATCAGCAAGTCTGTTCTGTTGACAGCCAGTAGAAGATGGCTTTAGGTGGGCAACACCTAGGTAAGTTTTTAAAAATGTCATTTGAAGTTTAATAATTCATGTATTAAAAAACAATGAATAAGTTTGAACACCAAAACTCATTTTGAACAGAGAGAATTATTTTTAACAATACAATATTTGATTTTCAGTGTAGATTTTTTACTGTTTACTGTTTTTGGTTCTGTAAATAAAATGCATATTCATGCATTGTTTCATTTTTGGCATACAGAAACAAAATATTTGGTTCATTGTAAATTCTGGATAAATGAAACATGTATTTCCTTATTTTGCTAGATGTTATCGTTAGAGAATACAGTAAATTTAATGTATATAAAAGTAATAATGTTAAAAACATACTGTCATCTTATAATAAATGCAATAGGACAAATTAATTATAGTACCTTGGTGCTTGTACCTGTTTTGGTAATGTATTTGAGTGTTTTTTATTTTTCAGTAAACAAGGTCTGATGTCACATGAGTTCTTTAAGCCGGGCGTGTACTACTTCTCCGACCAGAACCAGCAGGAGGCTGCGGAGTACATCGGCACCGTCATAGTGAAACCTAAACAGCAGGAACACTATGTGGAACTGACAACACTGAAGGGCTTTGAGCAAGGTGAGACCACGTCCTTATGTAGAGTCAGATTGTCGCAAGTTTACATTTCTTTGAAACATTTTTTTGAGAACCAAATCCTCCTTCAAAAAAAAAATCTCCCATTTTTTTTGTCCCAAGATAAGTTACCCTGACAGTGTAGTTCTATGGTAAGTAGAAACATCCACTTATAGTAGTTAATTTTTCCACTTTGTCCCACTCATTCAAGCAGGTGATTTGGGACTTAGATATTACCTTGTTCTTCAGTGTCGTCTCATTTGAAATATAATTTTCTATATCACAATCCATTCACTTTAGCTAGAAACACATGTTATGACTAAACTAATGATGCAAGTCTACATATGTGTAAACCATCATGTTTTTGCCCAACTAAATTTTGTCACTTCAAATTAAACTTCATTCTATGTTGATTTACTGCAAGTGTCTGACATATTCCTGGTTTTGTAGATTTTGTCTATGTTGACAACATATTCCTGGTTATGTAAGGTTTGCATTACCTTGCTGATAATGTTTTGCCTTTGATTAACATTGTTCTGTCCTGTTTCAGACGTGGTGAAGGCCCAGAGTGGAGACAGACTTTGGTTCCACTGGGACAAAGATCAGGCCACCAAGAATAACTTTAAGTTTGTCATACAACAGGTCGGCAAATGTCTTACGCCACTAGCCAAGCCCGCGTCACCTTTAGATGAAACTACACGTAAGTTTGATGCGCTTTTTGTGACAATCAACTTATCGGTTAACAAGTTCAACTTTATACAATCGAAAATTTTCTTAATGCTAACAAACATCTCTCAATACAATAGAACTACTCTTAATGCTAACAAACATCTCTTAATACAATAGAACTACTCTTAAAACCAACAAACATCTCTTTATACAATAGAACTACTCTTAATATAACAGAACATCTGTTAATATAAAATATAATGGAAAAGTCTTATTGATCAAGAGAAATCTATTCCTTAGTGTTAATACATGATGTGTTTAAAATCAGCTGTGGAGGGGGATGCCTATCCCTGATATACCTTGTGCCTGTAATTAATGCTGTCTGTAATAAGCTATCAGAAGGGCTCTCTTCCTTTATCTGCCCTCACAATAAAAAAATGAAAATAATTTGAAAAATATATTGAAATTAATTTGGAGATGGCCTTATCACCTTGTGATGACAGTAACAGATTTTTAAACCTAATATCCTACAACTATTACACCTAATATCCTACAACTATTACAGAATTAGAGGACCCATTAGACTCTGATGCCATGGGCCTGTGTGCTCGGGTTGGTCTGGCGACAGCAGTGGTGCCCTCTACTGGGGTGTATCACTACCGACTGTATGCCACGGAGGACACCAAGGATATCAACACCAAGGAGATGAACACCTGCTCTGCCATTGTCAACCCTGGACCAAAGGTAGGCAGGAAACCAATTTTGTGTCATAACTCTCAATTGTTCTGTCACTGTGATAGTTTTTTCTCCCATTAAAAACAGTTATACAATTGCTTGTAAATTTCATTAATATGTTTGTGTTCAAAGTTTTTATTTTTTTAATTTTATCACAGAATCACACCATCCACCTGACAGACAGTGGGTTTGAGCCGAAAGTGATCACTGTTCGTCCCAATGACAGAGTGTGGTGGGTGTGGCAGGGAGGAAAGAAGCCCCACAACATCATACAGGTAGACAGAAGGTTTTTTGTATCTTAATTAGGCCTCAATTTAAAATATTTTTTTGTTTCAAAGAGCCAACTGGCCTCTGCTGCTAAGTGAAATCAGTTAGGGACAAGAAGAAATATTTAGGGGTCACGGCTATTGAAGAACAGCTAAATGGAGGCCTTTACTGGGTACATTAATTCTGAATATTGACTTTAAGGGGCCAATATGAATTTTGGTGAACATGGCTCCTAAAGCAAGAGGTGATGTGAGGCATGTAACTGTTCATATTTTCTCCTGGCAAGTCCAGTAAAAATTTACCCCTGGACTCCAGATTTTGTTTAGGGGTATCACCACACACAGCATTAAATTAATAGTTCATTTGCATAGAGGGTATTGGCAGTCTCACGAATAGAGGTGATATATTTTGGAGTTCCAGGGTGGGGTAGATCTTTTACTGGAACAGTTCTCTTGTAAGTTCTTGTAGGAATGACACATACTTGTTATCATGTAAAAAATATGGGCCCAGTGTCTCAAAACCTGATAAGGTTAGCAACAGATTAATTCAAAAGTTTTATGTTCAAAGATATTGAAATTCAAATCTAAATTTGCATGTATACTCTCCCGATGATAATTCTGAATCCCAATTCAGAATTAATATTGGAAGAGAGTTAACATTAAACTACTTTTATAATTTCAATATTTCTCATAATTGATATTAATATGATGGTTGTCCTGTTTTATTTATCTCAATAAATATAGGAAACATATGACAATATTCTGTTTGACCTGCAGGTGTCCCACCAAGGCAGCCATATAGAGGACGGGTTTTGTAGTGGTATGATCCGCGACCCTCCCTCTGCCTACGTTCATCAGTTCTCCGAGGCCGGTGTCTTCTACTTTATCAGGTATCCAACGTCTCCAGTCATCTGTGTAATTGTTACCAAATCCAGACTTTCTCTTATTAAGATGATCTGTTCTTGTATGATTTCTGGTTTTATTGATGAATAAGGTAGGATCATGTTTGACTCTACGGCCTCATTGTTGTAATGTAATAGCTGATTTCTTTACTGTAAAATAAAGACATTTGATTAGACAGAAACTTTAGGATGTTTGAAGGTTGATCATCATTTTATAGCAAAACTAGTTGACAACACAGAATTTTTCCAATGTTTATAATAGTGTCTAATGCTTATATCTCAATCTTACTTGAAGATAATTATTTTCAATCCAAGTGAATATGTATTTTGTTTCCAATTTTAGTCATGGTGTAAATATCACAGATTTTTTTTTTTCAATTTATGTGTTATTGATGAAGCTTGGTACAGCTGAACTGAAGAAACTGTTACAGTTCTAAAAAATGATGTCATAATTTTGAACACTCTGATTTTCTTTGAAAATTGTAATAATTATTTTCCATCCCTCTTTCCCATAGCTCCAGCATTTCCAAGGTGTTTGGTGCTATCGTCGTGTCGACACAACCAGTTGTTCATGAGGTCAAGGTCGGCATGGCGGTCAATCCTGACCCACTTACAGTCAAGCAAAACGACATTGTGGCGTGGACATTCCGCAGTACACGTCAGTACGACATCATGGAAGTGGAGAGTATGGACGAGATCACACAGGAGTTGGGAGACAAGTTAAAGGTCCCCAAACGGTGTGTACACTGTTGTGTGTTATATTAACCTATTCACCCCTAAAGTCACATTTGAACCTTACCAAATCAAAGACTGGGCAAATCTAGTTTAAATATGTAGGGGTGAAAGTTAATACATAGCATTAAAAAAACTACCAAAACATTATTTTCTGCCAATTCCTGCTTTTAAAAGGTCATAAATCTGTTCCCTGGCAAAGAATCCACATGAATGTTACAGTTCTTGTTAACAGTTGAATAGCTCTATTTTGAGTTGCTGATAAAAAATATATCAATTTATAGAAATGCTACTGCATTTGTACCACTGTCCATTGGGCGGAATCGTTTCCCCCAGAAAATGACTTTTTATCATGTGTATCTGAGCTAACACAATTCCTGTATATATTTATGTTGTTATCAGTATGTTTTGTATCAAATTATATAAAAAAACAATTATAATTTTATTTTTTGAAAAGTTTTCAGCATTACAAAATACCTTACAATAGTAATTTTCACACTCACTTGTTCATTCGTGCAACTTGATATCTGTGTTTCCTATTTCCCATATTTAATTGGTTAGTAATCTAATTTGTTTAAATCATAAACATTTTACAATGATATCATTGATATAAATCTTGTATTCAGCCAGGTGAACTAAGCTGATGATGATAGGAGTAAGGCATTCCGTTACATCAATAATTTATGTTTACCTGTATATTGAAATAAGTGTTGGATCTGGCCATTTTAATTTATGATTTGTTGAGAAGAGTATTGTATTCAGGCGTATTAAATCTTTTTCCACTTTGATTTGTAGGAGGTGTTTGAGCCGTGCCATCAAACAACCTGGAGTGATACAGTTTTACAGCAAGTCTTTCTTCCAGAACCTAGGGAGTGGAGATGCAGATGTAAGTATGATACAGAAAATAATAATAAATTTAGTACAGCACCTGACCTTGAACTTTGAAAGAATACTTACGTTGCTAACAAACCATGATTTTGTTGACAGAGCACTGGTTAAAACTTATATATAGTGCCCTATATTATTATCTGTGCCTGTTAGTTATCCAATCAGAATTTAACTCTGCGATATACTGTAGGTGACTTTCACAAATTGACCTTTCTGACCCACTATTGATCCTAAACTAAGGGAGATATCATTACTTCAGTTTTTCCATAGGAGATCATTGTTTGAGTTGAGTAAAAATCTCCAGTAAATTTTCCCTTAACTTGAGCAATGGTATCATATGGAAATTCTGAAGGAATTTCCTCATGTTCAGGAATGTTTATGATTGAAGCTGGAACCTGTTTTTATTCCCAAGGACGTAAATTTGTATTTCGGTCACATCATGTATACATCTTCAACGATGGAAAAATAATTGTTTGCATGATCCTTGAATTTGTAAATAATGCTTAACCTAAATTTATAAGAAAACAAAACACATGCAATATAACCAATCGACATTAATAAATATATATCATCAGTAGTCATGCCTTGAACTTATGTAAAAAAACCTTTAAGAATGCCTGTTGAGCACGTTGCTTTTTTTGTAGAAAACGGAGGTCCCCAAGATCAGCAGCGTAATCTGTGATGACCGCTACGACAACATGGCGATCCGCGTGACAAGAGGCGGCTTCAGTCCGACCTTTTGTTATATCCTCAAGGTAAAATTTCTGTTTTGTTATGTTTAAAAAGATAGTAGAATTAGAAAAATAGAAATTCCTCTTTTATTTTTGTTTGGATGTCAAATTTAATATTCCATTAACCACATATTTTCTATTTACTTGAGAATATATGTACCGGTTACTACAATGCATCTAAAGAAAATCAATGAATTTCCAAAACAGCAAATATCAAATAAATTCATAATTAACATAAATACTGTTAACAATGAATGATATTTCCATGTTGGTGCAGGGCCAGAGTGTGCTGTGGACCTGGAAGGGGACAGACGAGGAACACAACATTGTTCATGTCGGCTCGGATGAAACCAGGGTAAGATCACTTAGCTACAGGTACAAGGTGGAAACAACATTTTATAACAGACCTAAACTGACTGTCCAATCACTAAATACCTGTCATACTACATAAACTGACTGTCCAATCACCAAATACCTGTCATACTACATCCTACTGGCCATCTGTTTGAGACCTTACAAACAAAATGTCTTAGTTAAAATGGTATTTTAAGACATATCAGAATTGTCTGTGACCACATTTTAGACATTTGCTTGCGACCATATTTCAGAAACTTAAATAATTTGTCTATGGCATGTTTTGCAGACCTGTTTTTACTTTTTACAACTACATTTTGAAGAACAGTGTCTGTGTCTATATCTAGCAAACTTATCTTCAGAGCTGTGACCATATTTGGAAGGTTTGTCTGACTTGTCTGTGACCTTAGTCTGGAGGCTTGTTTTGTACCTCATTTGTGAGGTTTTGTTTAATTTGTCTGTGACCTTATTTGGAAGTTTGTCTGACTTGTCTGTGACCTTATCTAGAAGTTTGTCTGACTTGTCTGAGACCTTATTTGGAAGTTTGTCTGACTTGTCTGTGACCTTATTTGGAAGTTTGTCTGACTTGAGTATTGATTATGTTACAGGATGACCCCCTGAACACAGTGAAAGGCCCCAAGTCCTTTAACAGCGGCCAGAAGGTGAAGAACAACAGTTTTCTGTACACCTTTGATGAGCCGGGATCATATAGTGTTGTGTCCCGTGGAGCTGATGGCTACTCATGCACAGTTTACGTCCTCAGATCAGGTAAAAGATCATTTGTTCGTCTTTAAAAATTGAGTATCTTAAATATTTACAATAATTTTGTTGCATTAAAAGATATCTGATGTGAAAATTTGAAAAAAAAGTAGTTATTTTGTGATAAGATTGATCATATGACAGTTTATTAGACTTAATGTGGAAAGTTAGGATGCTGCATATCAGATAGGTACTCATTTCACTTTTTCCTTGCTTTTTTTGAAGGATTAGGCAAGAATATAACTACAGTACAACAGATGACAGATACTGTAAACATGCATGTTTTAATGGTAGTGTTATTTTAGCACTTTTCACGTTTTAGAATCATAAATGCATATATGAAAGTTCCTTTAAATTATTTCTGTTGCATATTTTGTGGGTGTGCCAATTCATCAGTGCACTAAATTGTTAAAATTTGTTAATGGGCTAAAATTTTAGTTCACCAATTTAAGCAATTTTACTTTATATAACACAGAGACTAATTACGTTTCTTGTTTCTCTGTGCGATGTAGCCCCCAAGGTGAAAGAGCCAACCATTGAGACCTCTAATGGAGGAAGCTTGAAACAGTATGATAGGATCCAGCTCTCCTGCCCCACCCCCGGGGCTAAGATCTTCTTCACTACCGATGGAACTCCTCCCCTCCTCCATCTTGAAGAAGCAAAGGTAGGAAATGATTATTATGTGGAAGAGTAAATTGTTCATTTCTAATTCATGTCACAGGGTCAGAGGTGGGAGTATTGACCTTGTAACTATGTCACAGGTCAGGGGTGGGAGTATTGATCTTGTAAGCATGTCACAGGGTCAGAGGTGGGAGTATTGACCTTGTAACTATGTCACAGGTCAGGGGTGGGAGTATTGATCTTGTAAGCATGTCACAGGGTCAGAGGTGGGAGTATTGGCCTTGTAACTATGTCACAGGGTCAGGGGTTGGAGTATTGACCTTGTAACTATGTCATAGGGTCAAGGATGAGAGTATTGACCTTGTAACTATGTCACAGGGTCAGGGTGGGAGTATTGATCTTGTAAGCATGTCACAGGGTCATTAGTGGGAGTATTGACCTTGTAACTATGTCACAGGTTCAGAGGTGGGAGTATTGATCTTGTAACTATGTCACAGGGTCAGGAGTGGGAGTATTGGCCTTGTAAGCATGTCACAGGGTCAGGAGGGGGAGTATTGATCTTGTAACTATGTCACAGGTTCAGAGGTGGGAGTATTGAACTTGTAACTATGTCACAGGTTCAGGGTGGGAGTATTGATCTTGTAAGCATGTCACAGGGTCAGGAGGGGGAGTATTGATCTTGTAACTATGTCACAGGGTCAGGAGCGGGAGAATTGGCCTTGTAAGCATGTCACAGGGTCAGGAGTGGGAGTATTGATCTTGTAACTATATCACAGGTTCAGAGGTGGGAGTATTGAACTTGTAACTATGTCACATGGTCAGGGTGGGAGTATTGATCTTGTAACTATGTCACAGGGTCAGGGGCGGGATTATTGACATTGTAACTATGTCACAGGGTCAGGGATGAGAGTATTGACCTTGTAACTATGTCGCAGGATCAGGAGTGGGAGTAATGACCTTTTAACTAGGTCACAGGGTCAGGAGTGGGAGTATTTACCTTGTAACTATGTCACAGGGTCAGGGGTGGGAGTATTGACCTTGTAACTATGTTACAGGGTCGGGGGTTGGAGTAATGACCTTCTGACCATACCAATATTTTTCTAAACTGTATAGCATGGTCCCTACAAGCCATGATAATGCTGGAATTAAGGCCAATGTTTTGAAAAGTACTGGAAAATAGTTCATCCTTTATAAAAAAGCAAGTACAAATATACAGAAGACAATTGACATGTATTCTTTTCTAAAATAGTACCAGGTAATGAATTAGATAATTCTTGGGACTAATCAAGATAACACAACTATTTGATAATAATGGTGAAACACTTGTTTTTTGTAATGAATAAATTTACAAGAGATACATACATGTGACATTGCAAAATATAATTATGCAAAAGATTATTAAATGGTGAGTTGTGCCCAAGAAGAGCCAAAGTTAGATTTGATATGCTCAAGACTCACTAGTATTATTCCATTCATGAATTAAAATCCCTGTGAATATGATAGCAAATATAAACATTCACAAAAAATGTGATTTACAGTTTACACAAGGATATAGTTAGAAGCCATTATGCCAAACCTTCTGATAGTATTTCGACTGTTATTTTATCAAATGTGACAACACAAATTATGTCTTTAAAGAAGCAATGATTCTGTCCCACCCGAGGTACATCATATACAGTAGTTTTTACTGTGGAAGGATTTGAAATACAATGAGTTGTTGAGATAATGAAAAAATCTTTGAAACAAAATGGGTATTTGAACACATCCAAGTTAAAATACATGAACACATGTACTGTAACGGTCATGGGACAGGGGATGACCTCCAGATCAATGGGATAATCCAAATACTGCAGTTGATATTTATAATGTGACTGTATTTGCATTATAAATATGTTTTCAGTAAGTGTTTAGAATATTTTAGCAAAATAATGTTTTACCGTGTAAGCAATTTGAACCACCTCTGACTTTCTTTTTCCTTCAACAGCTATTTAAACAGGATAAAGGGGTGATCTTTAAACAGCCAGGCATCAAGTTTATCCGCGCCATTGCTGTACTGGAACGTACACTCAACAGCGACATCTTTACCTCCAAGTAAGTCAAGGGTCACCAGGTCGTAAAAGAATGTTAACGATTTGATATTCAAGGATAGCATATACTTAGCATCACTGCATTCCAGTTGTTGTTGATTTTCATATCTATAGATATGTCATTATTTTTGATAACTTGTTATAATACACTTGAAGATGTATGCTACTTGACTTTGATATGAACCTCCATTTCAGGAGAGTTCCTCTGTAAAAAAAATGTAAAGTGTCTTTTATGATAATAATCCCTTACACTTGATAAATGAATTCAGGACACTTTTGTTACCCATACACAATAAATGCATACTCAAGTAATTCTAAACTATGATAAAATGCTAATTAAAGAGCTTTATAAGGGAGATAACTCTTAACACAAATCACTGATATAATGTGTAAGGTGGCATATGCCTTTACCTTTAATGTATATCTTATTATAGCACAATGTTATTTTAGGAATGAACCTTACAATCATTATTTAGAAGATGTAGATAATTACATAAAACCTTTGCTTTAATTTGTGTAACTTTAAATTTCCGTGCAGGAGGTTCCTGGTAGCCGATGACGATGGTGCTGACCGACAGTCAATGTCATCTGCAGCCTCTGTAGCTGAACAAAGACCAGGACCAAGTGTAAGAGCGACAATAAATTTCAAAATGACTATCTGTGATCTGTAACTACCACCTGATTACAACTTGTCTATAACTACTACCTCTCTTCAGCTACCACCTGTCAATAGTTACTAGCAGTTTATAAAACCACCCGTCTATAAGTATGAATGCATTAATTTCCTAATTATCTTATGAAAAATGTTTATAAATAACCAGTAGATTAAGATGATTTGTCTACTATTTTGATTTTCATTTTTTCCCCTGTAGATATCATTAAAGATATGTTGCACTGTATTTTTTACTCCAATTTTTCGTTTGTGCCATGTCCACATGACTATAGAGGCAATAGTAAATGGTGTTGTTTGTGGTTACAGAAGGACGGCGCCTGGGAATGGTGGGACTGTGCCCCACACATCAAGGCATGCTTCACAGAGCCGGGGGTGATGGAGGTGTTCTGGAACCCACCCGAGAGTGGACAGCTCCCTCTCATCAAGGGCTGTTTGGTAGGTTATCTACCTCCAAATCACATGACAAATGTTGTATAATTGACGGGTCAAGTAATACAGTGTATAAACCATCATTGTAAAAATATTTTAACGAGGTCCTCCAGAGTAATTAAAAAAAAAAAAATCTTTCATGTTTCTGTGTGTACCATTTGAGGTCTATACAGGAGAAAATCAGTTTCATAGCAGATATTCTAATCATTACGGTATCAATGTTTGGAGGCACGGTAGTCTAGTGGTAGGACGCCGGGCTCATGACCGAATCAATTCACATTATGTCACGTCACGGCAAGATACCTTACTCCATTTGTTCCAATCTACTCAGCTGTAAATGAGTACATGGTTGGGCAGTGCTGGAATTGTTGAATGCTAGCTGTGAGCGCCAAATGGTAGCACCGGCTGTATGCTCCCCAGGGAGTTGAGAAAGATATTTGCTGGTTGCAAAGGGCCCTATAACTACGAATAATAATTTGTAAACCACTTTGAGAGGACCTACGAACTAGGTTGTGATAAACGGGTATATAAGAACCTCAAATTATTATTATTATTAAGTGTATATTTTACTGTTTTACCTCTTCAGCTATTCCTGAATGGAGTGACTTACTGTGATATGTTCCCGCCAAACAATACCAGCATCAGTGTCAGTGGTATGGCAGGGGGTCGTTTGTATGAGGTCAAGGTCGAAGTCGCCTCGACCAATAACAAGTACAAGCCACTGACCTCCAATGTCCTGGTAAGTTAATTGTGTTTGTTTTGTGAAATCGCCATTATTTTGAACTTGACAGACAAAGATATTATATTTAATATTAAGTACACAAACAAATCTCAGAACAGCCGAAGTAAAAGAGTGACACAGATTAAATCAAGATATATTTTTGAACAAAATATCATTTCATATTCAGGTTGTGGTACAGATTTTTATGATGTTTTGCTTGACCAATTGTAATATTTTGGCTACACCAAAGGACTAGGGGCCATAAGGGTCATTTCGGCCTCATCAGGGATTTGGAATTAGTGGTTATATTCGTAATCTGGAATAAATGAAGTACGCAAATATGAAATTTCAACTTCATTTGACACTGGTTTAGGAGATATGGCACTACAGAGACACAAAACCGTATTTTCATAACAGAATGCATGAATATTGTCTGTTGTGCGCTATTTGGTTGAAAATCTGCCATTTTGAAGGAAATTACCTAAACACTCATCAATTTTTGAAAGCCTCGGCATGAAACAAACAAATTAATATTTGACATGCTTAAATATTGTCATACCTGTGTTCATTCTTGGAAAGGACCTTTTGTTTGTTGCATGCGAAGGCTTTCATTTCTGCGTATTAACTGTAAAAAAAATCACCATATTTTCTTTTTTGCATAGCAATCAATTTTGATGGTATGGTAGGGCATTTAGGCATGTGCACTGGAAATAATCTAACCATAAAAGATAGCCCCATTTAACCAATATGATTTTTATAACAGAAATTGGTAAATAAATTCAAGATTTAATTTTTACTTGTAATGAGGCCAAAAATGACCCATAATGCTCTAAGTCCTTTTAGCCCTTTGACTCCCAGTGTCATATATGGCCACACATATTTACCAGTATTTCACACATTATCATACATTTTGTATTATGTCAGATTCCCCCTTTTGTGGGAAAATCCAACAAAACAAAAAAATTCTCCTTAGTAAATGACTTCGTCCTTTGGTTGTTGTAATGGACCCGGAAGGTTGCCCCTATTGGTGCTTGAAATGACAGAAAAGAATGCACAATTTTGTTTCTGTAAGGGAGTATAAGAATGCCCTTATTGGTTGTTGTTATGAACCTATAAGAACACCCCGTTATTTCTTACATTTGACCTATCAAAATCCTGAACTGATTGTATTAATGGACCTATAAAAATGCCACTGTTGTTTTAACAGGTAATGAAATGCCCAAAGCGGACTCCTGATGGTGGGCCAGTTATCTCCCTTGAGCGCACGGAGCGTCCTGATGCCCTTGCTGTAGTATGGATGGCCATTGATACACCAGATTATCCTATATCTGGTTATCTCATCTTCCTGGACGACGTCCAGTGTGGCAGTAGGGTAAGTGGACATCTGTTTACTCTGTAGGAGTTTTACCATAATAGTAGCAGGAAACGTTTACTGTAAAGGAGTGAAACAGATATTAGGGGCTTATTCTGGAATTTGGTTGTACAATGTATAAACAAAAGGGATTACTATTTTTATCTGTCGTATAAAAAGTTTGAAAAGAAATTGCAGTGGGCTCAATCCAAAGGATGGACAAATAAAATTGATAATAATTAATAATCTTCAAGAACACTTTCCACCAGGGTCTTTTTTTTAAAGTCTTTTTTTTTTGCATAGCAAAAAGTTATCACAAATCTATCATGCCGTAATTTATTTCAACAGGAGAAAAAAACTTTTAAACCTAAAGCTATGTGAAGGGATTCAAAATAATCGACCAAAGACAACAAAAATGTAAATTTTCGGGTAATTTCTAAAAGTAACATTTTCATTAAAGGCTCATTAAGGTAATCAGAATTTGAAAAGCTGGGCCTAGATAATGAAGCAGGAAATATCTATTTCTAATTCTACTTAAAAGCATAAAAACTATTGAAGTTGTTTTATAAACATTTCTATCGTAATATTTGTAACGTTTGACCGTCCCATTACAGCTGGTGCCTAGCCCAGACAGTGACCGATGTAAGGTTGTGATCGGAGGCTGTACCCTGAGACAGATCCACAGTATATATGTGAAAGCCCTCCCTCATGGTCAGTATCCTAGCTTCACAGCCCGTCACCATTGTCTCACAAATTGAAATTATTGTTAAACGTATAAAATAGATTCGGTTTATATAATGTTACATAGACTTGTTACTGAATTCAGTTAACGAGAAAAAAACCCATAAAAATAAGCTGTACCATCATGTAAATAATATTTTATATAAATCAGCTTTTTCGTATCAGTAGAATGTGAAATACCTTACCTTAATGCTTTTTTTAAGTGTTTTTTTTTCTTTTTTTTCCCTAAGGAGCTACCAATGGTAAGTTTTGCATGTTGTGTTCGTTTGTTCACTAGTAAAATATGTCTGGCATGCCCATTTTAGTTTCAAGTGGTCATCTTTTTTGTTCTAAACATTTACTAAGTTATTTTTCTGATTAGATACTTAATCTTGTGAGAATGTATTGATTGATGAAATCTTTCATTCTGTTACAGATTGTGTGAATTAAAAACTGATTGTTTTCTTCAATATATCAAATTTCAGACGAAGTCATACCATTTGGGTTTCTGTGTGCATCAAAACCCACAGATATTAAAAATAAATACAGTAAGGTTTTTATTGGCCGAGTTTCAGAATGGCTTTGAGTGTTGCGATGAATTCAGGTTATGCTTAAAGGACAGTCGGGAAAATAAAACAGTTTGTTTAAAAGTCCAGCTTTTCGCTAGCCAATGCCAACAAATTATTTTCGCAAAAATGAATAGTTTCACAATGGATGTGAGTTTTCAATTTTTGAAGGTGTCAAAACGCCATCAAACCTAGAAAAACCACACAGTGAGAATGGTGAGATGGTGTTTTGTGAGGACACCGAGGGTAAGCTATTTGTCTGTGTCAATTGCTAAGGATGTGTAGCAAGTTTAGATCTCCTAGAATTCCACTTATAGACAAACTGATTAAAATCATCTGTTACATGGTTCCGTTAACTTCATGCTTCCCCTGAAGTTTGTTCATGCGTAATACAAAGTTAATGGCGCCATGCAACAGACGGTTTTAATCAGGTTGTCTATTATATACACAGTGAATAAGGTATTGGACCAGAAATGAGTGTGTTTTGCTAAGAAGTTTGTGTAGGTAGATTGTTTTTATCTGAAGTCATCTTATTCGTCCCTATGTAACACTGGTTGCTACTTTCATTTCCATTGTGTACTATATCATCATCCAATCAGCAGTGAGGTTTAGAATGTTGGAGAGGATGGGGAGGGTAAGCCTCTATATGTTGTTGGCTCCTTGTGATAGACCTCTAGACCTCCACACAGGATAATTGCATTAAAAGTTGTGTATCTCTGTGTTCTTGGTAAAAAAGTTTATTGTGCATTCATTTTTCATTTTATTGTGTTGCCCCGACGAACATCAAGTTTTGGGTTTAAGTTAGTTTCACTGAAAGAATAAGTGCTAGACCAACCAAACTTGGACGATAGACGCATCTTAGGTAGTACATTTCAACCCATACATCAAATGCTGGATGCGGCCTACCTTTCATGGTCCATTGACAGCATCTCCACCAACATTAAGTTTTTGCGTTTCAGTTAGATTCTCTGATATGTGCATTGATGGTCAAAGCGGGGCACAGGCGAGACATATCAATCCAAATGGCTTGTTTAGTCAAGAGTACCGTGTTTAAAGTGATAAGTAATATATTCTTTGTTGAAAACAATCTTTCCGATATTGTCTATTTTCAAGGTTATAACTTGCTACATTACTTAAATTGTTCATCTGAGGTGAGCTAGTCATATTCCCGCTGTAGTTAGGATTATTGAAGCATTGGCTTGTAGTCGACCAGGTAGTTGTGATGTTTATACAACAATCATCATACTGCCACCAGTGGTTGAGCAAAATAGTTGCAGTATAAAGGGGTTTGTCAAACCCTTTCAACACTTTAGACTATAATGGACTCATCCATATTGGTAATGCTTGGTAGAATCTACTAAATTTACATAGGGGTGAAAGGGTTTAGGGAGACATATAAAGGAATTCTCAAAATAAATGGAACATTGGACCTTAAAAATATATGTGTAATTTAAGCAAAGTGTCAAATGAAATCAATATCATGATTATCAAGGTATTACTGTATATACCCTGGAGATAAGACTGTTAGTGCTTGCCAAGAAATACATTGTTATTTTGATGTAATAAAAACAATGGATTAGATTTATATCCTGACCTCAAATTTGCATAGGAATAAAAAGCTTACTATTATTGTGTTGTATCTTTATAATGTATATATTTAAACTTTTCAAGGACTTAAGAACAAAAAATATAAAAAAGGTAGACAGACTTACAAATGCAATTTGTTTGCTTGCTGCAACAGTTGAATTATTTGTTCTTTTAAGAACTTGCTATTGTGTTGCTGATTATTGAGTATTGGAAGAATTCAACATTGATGATACATAAGATGGAGTGTAATTGTATGACATTGTCTCGCTCCCATTTACCAAAAATATATTGAATATCTTCGGAGTGTCATTTTCCAGTATGTTTGTCTGACAAACTAACCTTGACCAACATTATAATTTTACCTTTGACCTTCAGCCATGTTTTATATTGTTTGTTACCAGTTGACATAGATCATGCTAAAACCTCCAACCTCCTGGAGGTCACCTTGCCCTTGGACTTTGAGCAGGTGGAGCTCCCGCCAGAGGAGGAACGCATGGATGAGCCGGAATTCTACAAGGAGTACATTGAGATAGCGGAAGGGGCCGGCCAGCTCCCCACCATGGACGGTAAGGGCAGGTGTTGTTGTAGAAAGGGGCGGTAGAGGCAATTACTGACTATTGATTGGTGTGGGTTATATGAACTGTATATATATACAGAATGTTACATAACATTCGTAATTTTAAAAATAATTTCAAACACAGCTGAGTCTTTAAAGGTCAAGTCTAAAAAACTCTGATCATAGTACTGTTTTCAAACTCATTTAATAGCAAAAACATTCAACTTTATCTGGACAAAAAAACAGTTAATAAAGTTCAATTTGTTTTATTGACATAGAAATGTTCCCACTGTTTTGACCAATAGCAGCATCTTTAGGTTTTATTACACGTGTGTGATACCATATTTATGACATGGCCTTATGACATACTGAAATGGGACAGTTATATGAACAATGAATTGGTATAGGTGTATATAAAATATATATGTTTGTATTTAGATTGGTGGTTGTCATGTACGTTTGTTGCTAGTCGTGGAACACTTGTATTATCACTATAGCCGCTACATGTATAATATATTCCTAAATACGCTGTTTACATTTGCATGATTTTAATGGCACTTATTATTTAATTTTCAGGTTTTTTTGATACATTGTTATTTTTTTTTACATGAATACTGAATTATTTTGTTGCTTTATTTTAGAGAGAATCACCTGAGATATACATGTATTATTGTCTTTACACTCAATCATCATAATACTGGTTCTGATATACCAACAAAAAGTCTTTACTATTGACAATACAGAATTATTAAGTGGGTCAAATGTTGCTTCCCTGTATACTACTCATCCTTTTAAAATAAGTCTGTTCTTCCTACAATCTGGTCATAAATATTACAAAATGATATCTTGAGAGAGACGTTCTAGTTTCTAGTTTTGTGTGATTTATAATAACTAAATGTTGATAACCCCTACAGAAGAAAATTTAAGCCAGTGCAGCGATGATAGAGCTGATGAACTGGAGTTTCTGTATAAGTTTGGTAACTATTACCTGTCCAGTTGTCTCCCCTTGTTTTGATATTGTGACATATTGTAGTCAAGGTGATCAACTACAAGTATAATGGTGACCTTGAACAGCTCAAGGTCATTCCATGTGAACCATTTCTGGTGTTGGGGAGTAAAGCATGTTGTTACTATGTCACATTTAATGTGTAAACAAAGATTACCTGCACTTATTTTGTTTATGTTTTTATATTTTTGCAATATTAGATAAGTCATTATTTATTGTTGACATTTCGAAACTTTACTGTATTTTGAGGAAGTGTGTGAAAAAGAAGCTATGCAGTTATCATCTGTCAACTTTAATGTTTAAGTTAACTGGTAACTTGTCAAGCCGTACACTACACTATCATTATCAAGTATATTTCTATCAAGTTTACTGACTTTTATAGATTTATTCATAAAAATCAGAAAATTTGTTATTAATTAATGTTGGATATAACAGAATGTCTTTAAAGGACTCGCACAACTAAATCATTTACTATATGTTTTTACTTAGCTTTTGAACTAATAGCGTTAACATTTGAAGTTCAACACTAGTGATAACTGTTTAGATTCAAAGATACATACCTGACAAAGGCTTCAAAAGGCATTTTTTGGCAGGTTTAGTGGCAAATTAAAGTGCTACATTTACAGACAGCCAAACTGGTGAAACAGGTCGGGAACACCCCCTGACTTTTGACCCCATATAAATCCGCCATCACATATTAAAACAAACTTAAACTATACATTTTTCCAAAGTAAGATATCTGTAGATTTCATTCATTAAAAAATGTCTCAACATTAACTCATTAAAATTACTCAGAGGCACTGTATTTAACCAGAACAAATTGTATGTAAGGTTTACAATCGTATAAAACACTTGCTGCTTGGCTGATTTAGTTGTGTGAGTCCTTAAAGCAAGGGTAGGTAAAGTGATATTTTGTCTCTATGCTGCAATGTGTCCTTAGAATTAGGTGTTATTAGTCAAGTTTCAGAATGTTCTTAAAGTAAGGTGTCAGAAAAGTCAAGTTCACAGTGTTTCCTTCTCACATATATATTATTTTACTGTGTAATTATGTAATAAGTGTTTCATTTGTGATGTAGTATTGAACACTTTTTGCATGGGTTTGGTTTTATATGCAATTCTTGGCAAAAGGGAAATAGTTGGTAAAAGGGAGCATGCTACAACAATCTGCTGCTCTGTTGATACAGTAGATTTCACTTAACTCATTCACCCCTGAAAATTTATAATGAACTATTCCAACCTTTGAATTGGAAAGGTTCAAATGTGTCTTCAGGGGTGAATAAGTTAATATCATTTTCCATTTGTCAGTGGAAAACGTGATATTAAGCAGAATGTGACATAAAGTGACGTTATATTAAGTGTTATGTACTGTATAGACGATGCTAGATTCTTATTTAAACTAAATGTATGTAGTGGATCAAATATTATAATGGGGCTAGTTTGCCTTACCTGCATAGAGACTCACATTTGTTCAGTCTAGAGACTTAGTAAATAAAATCAATTTTAAGATAAGAGTCCAGGAAGTAAATAATATCAATTTTAAGTTAAGAGTCCAGTAAGAGTCTACGTTATTGTAGTCTGTAGTGATGAAGTCTGCGTATATATAAGGAATGTCGTGGGTAGGTCAAGAAATTTGGAAGAAAGAGATATAACGGCAATGTGTTTAACTTAAAAGAGCAGTGTTACCTATGGGTAGGTATCTAGGGTCTGCTACACATGCTGGTTCACATATACTCAAGTAGGCTAGAGGTATGTATAGCCCTGTACAAATGACAAGTAGGCTAAAGGTATTTATAACCCTGTACAAATGACAAGTAGGCCAGAGGTATAGCCCTGTACGAATGACAAGTAGGCTAGAGGTATGTATAGCCCTGTACAAATGACAAGTAGGCCAGAGGTATGTATAGCCCTGTACAACTGACAAGTAGGCTAGAGGTATGTATAGCCCTGTACAAATGACAAGTAGGCCAGAGGTATGGATAGCCCTGTACAACTGACAAGTAGGCTAGAGGGATAGCCCTGTACAACTGACAAGTAGGCTAGAGGGATAGCCCTGTACAACTGACAAGTAGGCTAGAGGGATAGCCCTGTACAACTGACAAGTAGGCTAGAGGGATGTATAGCCCTGTACAAATGACAAGTAGGCTAGAGGTATGTATAGCCCCGTACAAATGACAAGTAGGCTAGAGGTATAGCCCTGTACAAATAACAAGTAGGCTAGAGGTATAGCCCTGTACAAATGACACATGTTGTACATATAATGGCTTCTATCTAACAGATCACAAACGGGATAGGAGTCCAGAAAATTTGGAATTAGAGAAAGCAAGATACAAAGGTAATTACCCATGTTGTTGTCAATTTCTATGAAATAAATATCCAATTTCAAGGTCAGTTTTATGAGTTCAAGGTTATTCACTCATAATCCACTTCAACAATGTTCAGAGTTACAAATTGGTTTAATAAAACATTTGAAGGTTTTAAAGTCAAATCCATTGGTATGTTACGCAAGGATGATAATTAAAGTATATCACCATCAATAAAATGAATTAATTGGTCATTTTTCTGTTTAATGTGTACTTGTGTCTCAGTCATACATATATGTTATCTAGATTAATGTTACTGGGGACTAACATGTGTAAACTTTTATATTTAACAATACAATTTTTTAGTATTGCTTCAATTTGGATGTCATTGATAAGTTTCATGCTCCCCATCCTTCTCGGGACTGCTGATAGGTTTCAGAGTTCTACGTGTATACATCCCATAAGAAATTAATTATTTATAAATCTTGCAATTCTTTTGTCATTCTTTATTGGTTTGCTTTTTGTGTGGCCTCAGAGGGTGTCAGAGCCCTGAAGAAGCCAGGTATGCCAGCAGATTACAGCCACACTCCGGAGCGGGACTTGCACAAACAGAACGTCCCTAGTCGCCAAGCTACCCCCGCCAGATCCGGTATGAGTGAAGGCATTGATAGGCGTGACTCCAGCCTGTCTTCAGGAAGACGTCAGTTCTCATCTCAACGGCAAAGTGTTTACCATGATGATGAACAGAGCTCTCCTGTGCCTCCATACGGAGGCAGTCGTTATGCTTCTCCAGACATTGGAAGATCAGGCTCACAGAGTACCCTAAGGAGACCTTCCGTTCGCTCCCCAGGGCCTATGGACCACAGTAATGGACCAAAGGCCAGAGGCTACAAACTCTCTTTTAAAATGATGGGCACCGTGGCTGCTGCACTGCGGGTTCCCGAGTTTGATATGAGAGAACAGCACGTTAAGTCACACATCACATTCAAAGTAGTAGCTAATACCATGAGAAGGTTCATCATGCAGGAAAATATTTTAAAGAAGGGAATTTGTCAAGGCTTGTATGTCCAAAAATTCAAATTTGATTGGAAGAAATTCAAAAATTTTATCAAAGTCACTGAAGCTTTTAAAGAACCTGAGAAAACAACAAAAATGTTTGAGATTCAGGCTCCTTCTATGCAGAAGCCCATGAGTGGGGGAGGGCTGTCACGCCGGGCGTCGTCTCGGGTACGGTCTGGGGGCAGGAATGACCAAGATCGGGGATATGAGGATCAGGAACCACGCTACCCAGAGAGGGGCATCCGTAGTGGTCAACGGAGAGATGAATATGTCCACCAGCAATCACGGTCTATGGACAGTCTTAGTCCTGACCGTGACAGGCTGTATCCTAGCAACCAAAACATTGAAGTAGAGAGAAGGTCAAGGCAATTTTCACATCATTCAAGGTCATTTGATGGGTTCAGCCCAGACAGGATAAGAGGTCAGTCAGGTCATGATAGTTACCATGAGAACAGTCCAAGGTCAAGGTCTCATCATACACCAAGATCAGGACAACAGTCTGGAAGAGACATGGGTCGAATGTATTCTCAAGAGTATGGACCCCAGGAGAGTTATCGGAGACAGGGAACAGGTCGTACTGTAGAGTTTGAGCCTGACACCTATAGGGACCAGGATGCATTTGATGGCCGCGACACGGGGTACTGGGGTATGGAGGACGCTGACTCAGATTACTATGATAACACACCTTTCCCACCCAACAGTGGCAGGAGTAGACATGACCCAGGGTTAGAGTTCCGGCGGAGACGATTAAAGCACCAGAGTCCAAGATCAGAGGCCGACGGCAGATATGACAGATTCCAGGACAGCAGTCCAGAAGATTACAGGAGATCTACCTACCATCGACCTCGTGGCCCGAACATCCCAGGTCAGGCTCATGGGGCCATTACCATGAAGGAGTTTAACAGGATGACGGAAGAACAGCAGGAGGAATTGGAAAGGAAGAAGTTATTTTCTAAAATCTATGGAGACAAGTTTCCGGAGAGCCTGGCAATGAAGTCCCTGCAGGCATATGGTCCGATGCTGAGGAACCAGCTCCTGGATGAAGCCATTGCTGTGGAAGGTATACTGAGAATTAGATGTTAAGGGTCGGTGTTGTGTCACATGGGCCGAGCATGCCGCACTGGTGTGTGAACGGAACAAACGGAACATACAAAAACATTTACCACTCTGTTTCTCACAGGCATAATGAGCATGCATTTGTAGTGTCACTTCAGCAGCGCGCAGAGCATGGTATACAGGTAAAATTGATGGAAGTCTTTCAAGGAACATTCACCATCACTCTGACATATTAAGCATGTTTAAGTCAATGTTGTGTGACCTGAGTGAGGAGGTACACAGATCTGTAACCAGGACTGACAAAAGTCTTCCACTGACTGTCATACATCACAATGTTTATGATGAGCTTTTGTTTATGCAACTAAAGTCATTATTATTTTATCATATTTTCCACTGAATCTGATTTTTTCCACTTCATTCACAGTCACTTTTCAAATTCACATCAATGTTTTTCTCTGTGGAATGTTCGCCTTCACCATCACTCCTGTTGGCCTTGTTACAAATCTTTTCTCTTTAGCCTCTGGATGTACTTGATTTAGGGTTTTGTAGGTGTTTGTTTTTAAACACCAAAAAAAAATGAATCAAGGAGATACTATGTACGGTACTGCTAACAGTTTGTATGTCCTCCGAATGGCCATTTTCCTTGTTGATTGAGTACACCACATCTCTGTAGGGGCATTCTTGTGTCACTCTGGCATCCTCTTCACCCGTTGTTAAAGTCTCACAACTATAGTTTTCAGGTTTATTGACATGATTTCACATCAAACATGTTACATGTATGCTGAAGCTTAATCACATGACAGTGTTATATAACTGTTTGAATTCAAATATGTTTTTTTTAAAATCTTTTGCTGTACACAGGTTGTGAAATTAATATACTATTTTCAATATGTTTGTAATTCATGTTTAAAAAAAAGTTTAACTGTAACGTCGTTACACTCTATAGAGCAAACTGAATTGTTTGTTCCAGTAGAAAGTACAACATCTTATTTAACGACATCAACATCAACATCAACGTCTGGTGAGTCGGGTGTTACATATTGAACAAAATCATTTCTCGCCTTTTGCTTTTTTATATTTTATTTTTACAGAAAATTTAATTTCACCTTGCAATGCCTATGTAATAAACAGATTAATATTTGATATTTTTCAGCACCATGACAAATGCAATGATTTTTTTATTTTATTTTTATTTATTATTTATTTATAATGCTTTGAGCTAATATTTTCGATTGCATACGTTTAATTAGTTTTAACTCATTAATAATAATAATCATCACTTGTATGCAAGCCTTCCTGGGATATAAACAGAACCCTGAATCCTTTGAAGTTTCAAAATATAAGTTCGATACTCTCTTACTATTTTTTGTTGTTGTGTTATGTTATTCTGATCTCTTATCAAAAAGATACATCCTTAAATGACTTTAGCTTGTTAGGATGTTAAACCCTATTAACCAAACCAAAAGTTATCAAAAAGATTTCCAAATCAGGAAATTGTGTAAACTGTCTAGTAAAAATATATATCAACAAAATACCAGGTAACATACTGCCTTAAGGCTATGGTAGTTTTATATTTGATATGGTGCTATCAGATTTTGACTATTCCGTCTATTTGTATTGCAGAGTTATCTGCTCTTGTGAGCAGGTATTGATTGTTATGTCATTAGTATGTGTGAGAAAATTACGTCGTTTTCTCAAAAAATTATGACGTTACTCTCACAAACAAATGACTTAACAATCAATACCTACTCACAAGAGCAGATAACTGTGCAATACGAAAAGACAGAATATCCTTTTGAAAGTTTGATAACTTAAAAACAACAGTAGCTGCAATAAAAAAAATCCCCCCAGATTTTAAAAATTAATTTGACATGGTTATACAGTTAAATAAACTCAAGGTTAGAAAATAATATTTGAAACAGTTAGCCATAAAAAATGCAGGTTGGTCACTGTATAGACAATAATCAGTCTCTAAAGACAATTGGTTGTTAAAAATACATTCTACCATTACAGCAAGCGTTTCAATCAATTTAAAGGAAATTTATACAATTTAAAGGAAATTTATACAATTTACAGAAATTATCATTTAATTACGATGAAGCATTCTGATTAAAATAATTTTTCATATAAGCTCAACAAGAAATTTCAAAAAGGGGAAAAAGATGTTTAAATGTCAGTGTAAAATATTTTTCAAAGCAAGTGACAAGAGGTTGATATTCCTATTTAGATGGACCATATGCCTGTCCTATTTTTTTTTTTACAAAATCTATGTTTATTTTATATCCTAGTTTTGTTTAGATGTGAAAAAATGTATGATTTTTTTTTTTTTTTGTCAAATACTGCATGTCATTTATTTGACATCATGTTTATACGCTTATTAATGTTTGACATTTTAGATATTAGGACATTGTCTTTTATTATCATAATTTAGAAAAAAAATATTCTAAATTTCAATATTTTACACCATTGTTTTTATTCCATATGACAGACTTTTTATTTGAAAACCGCTGGTACAGAATTGATAATGATGTATATCCATAAGGTACCAGGAGCTCTATTATTGATACTTAATGTTGTGGGATTGGGGCAGGGCCACACAAGATATGTACCCTATTAGACCACAAATAAACCCCACCCCTAGTGAAAAAGCATTGCCCAATGGTAGGGAAGGGGCTTATTTGCGAGTATAAGATTTTGCAAGTTCACAAATGTCCGCCATCTTGAATATACCACCATTTTGATTTATGCCCACACTACATATCACAGACTTATAGTTGCTCATGTTGTAAAAATAACAACTAACAGGCAGAAGATTTAATAACGGTCACCACATGTTGATTAGTGGGGTATTTGATTTAATGTTTAAGGGCTGAGGATATTATATAGGTAGTGAACAACACATTAATAGATTGTAGAGTGCAACTCTGTACAAATGCTGATACAATAACATATTGTGATCCCCCCCCCTTATATAAGTCTCTGAATTTGCAACTTTAGTCAAATAAGGAACTGTTTTTGAATCCACTAATTATGTCTTTTGTTTGCTATAGGTACTAGGGTTTTGTTTGTTTATGTATTGTTGTATGATCCTTTTACATTTTCAGTCATTTCGAGTCCATGTTTCGCAGTTTTTCCAGACCGGGAGGCTTTTAATAATATACATGTTAACAGTAAGGTTTCAAAACAAATGATGTGCATGTATTTGTTTGAAGGAGATTTGTTTTCATTTTAGAGAAGATCACCAAATTGTGCAGAAGATATGTTGTTTAAATGATAATTATACTGTTCTAAGTAAGGGAGTTTGCTGGAGGGTCAGTATGAAGTAACACTGTTTTGACTCATAATTTTTTCGTTACATAGACCAGAGTGTAGGAACGGACACACCTCAGAGGTCACCCCGCCAGCAGAGGAAGCCGAGGTATGATTACAATGAGGAAGGCATCGAGTACAATAAATACCGGAAGGGCATCCCTCACCGCTCCGTGTCAGACAGCAATGAGAGTGAGGATGGCACCACCGATGAGGAATCGGATGATGAAGAATCAAGCTCGGATAGCACAGACAGCCAGTCCAGGGCCTCGATCCCCAGTCAGAGCAACCATCTCAGCTTTGATGCTTCTAAGTCTTTTGCTGACAATGACAAGTCAATAAAACGCAGCAAGGGGTCCCGCGCTAGTTCTCGTATGAGCAATCAAACGACTCCGAAGGAAGTTATGGTTGAACAAGGTGAGCTTCAGATGTCGAGAGCCCCAACAACAGCAGTAGAACCTCATTCTGGATATGCTCCTATGGAGATTGGAAAGAGACAGAATAAGACAGCCATTATACAGGTGCAGCAGTCCGTCCAGCTGGATGAAGCACGACTTGGAGACTTGAACGTGACGGAGCGAAGGGTGGCTGTTGCTGCAGACAATAAGGAGCTGCTTAGGACAGTGGATGATGGAGTGGTTAGTAGATGTCTGCCTGGGACCAGGTGTACATATTCAGACTGTCGCTTAGCTTACAGTCCTTTTGTCAGTCCTTAGAGAATGTCCCTGGTGTCAACCCTGTTATAGAGAATGTCCCTGGTGTCATCCCTGTTTTAGAGAATGTCCCTGGTGTCAACCCTATTATAGAGAATGTCCCTGGTGTCAACCCTGTTTTAGAGAATACACCTGGTCTCATCTCTGTTTTAGAGAATGCACCTGGTGTCATCCCTGTTTTAGAGAATGCACCTGGTGTCATCCCTGTTTTAGAGAATACACCTGGTGTCATCCCTGTTATAGAGAATGCACCTGGTGTCATCCCTGTTATAGAGAATGTCCCTGGTGTCATCCCTGTTTTAGAGAATGTCCCTGGTGTCAACCCTGTTATAGAGAATGCACCTGGTGTCATCCCTGTTATAGAGAATGTCCCTTGTGTCATCCCTGTTATAGAGAATGTCCCTGGTGTCATCCCTGTTTTAGAGAATGCACCTGGTGTCATCCCTGTTTTAGAGAATACACCTGGTGTCATCCCTGTTATAGAGAATGCACCTGGTGTCATCCCTGTTATAGAGAATGTCCCTGGTGTCATCCCTGTTTTAGAGAATGTCCCTGGTGTCAACCCTGTTATAGAGAATGCACCTGGTGTCATCCCTGTTATAGAGAATGTCCCTTGTGTCATCCCTGTTATAGAGAATGTCCCTGGTGTCATCCCTGTTTTAGAGAATGCACCTGGTGTCATCCCTGTTTTAGAGAATACACCTGGTGTCATCCCTGTTATAGAGAATGCATCTGGTGTCATCCCTGTTATAGAGAATGCACCTGGTGTCATCCCTGTTATAGAGAATACACCTGGTACAGGGCTTGTATAGGCCTTGAAAAGACCCTGAAAACAAATGGATTGGCCTGAAAAGCCATAAATAAATTAATAGGCTCTTAAATCCCCTAAATTTGACAATATTATCCTGAAATGTTCAAAATGAGCCTTGAATTTGACTAAATGATCATTAAACTACGATTTTATGTTTATTATGCTGGTTTTGTGGTGTTATTCTCATAAAAATTAATTCAGAAAATACCGGAAATTATAATATTTGTTACCAGTTAATTTTTAAGTGGTTAGAATTCCAACCAGTATCAGATTTTTGTAATGTTTAGTGTACGTATGATGAGTATAGAGGCATTCAGGTTAAACATCAGGGTCTCTTTATCCCAAGCATATGCAAATAGTGGGAGATTTAGGCCTTAAAAAAGCCTTGAATTTTACAGCAAAATTTCTGTATGGACCCTGCTGGTGTCCCCTGTTTTAAAGAATGTACCCTGAGTGAATCTTGTTATATAGAATTATTTCATTCACTTTCAGCTTATCAAGAAAGCCCATGAGCAGAACACCCTTCCTCCCCCAGCCATCAAGGTCAGCTCCAAGGGTAAGACAGGGGTGAAGGTTGAGTGGCTGCTCCAGGATGAAGTACTACCAGACTACACCCTCCTGTTGTATGTGGTCAACATCGTCGGCCAGAAGTTTGGGTCTGAGTTCAGGAAGAGTGACCACAGGTATATCCTGTTTTACTTATTGTACAATAGTCATTAACATGTGTTTTTGATAACCTAAACAAGTATACTTTGTAGTTGCCATAATTTACCTTACACGGAAAGGACACCAGTGTAACAGACCAAACATGCTGCTGGTATTATGTACACAATGGTGATTTCAATCTCAGAATCAGAGACGTCTACAAAACTTCTGTTCTCCAAAATCACCATTTATTGTAATCAGGTTTCACTTTATACAGAGTTGTGGCCCATTGTTTTGTCAAGCATAATGACTGGAGGTAATAATTCCTGTGAATTATATATCATTCTGTCCAGTTTTGACAATGGATTTTATGATATAAGACTAATCTATATGTATTTAAATGTCATGTGGTATGCACTTAGACAGACAAAAAAATGATTCCCTGTATTTTGTCTTTCAGTTTCGACTGTAACATCGTGGAGGGGGACAAACAGATTCGAGCCCAGCAGCATTGTTGGAATGTGCAGGACTCTCAGGAGAAGTCCATATTTGGTCTGATGCCAGGCATGACCTACAGGTAAATATTAGTGATTTATGGTACACAGGTACAGTTGTCTTCTGTTGTGATTTTGAGTATTTCATGTTATACGGAAATAATCAATTTAGGATATTACGTCCAGAACGTATTAAACCGATGCAGGTTTATAACAAATGTTCAGTCATTAACTATAACCTGTAATGAATTTTTAACAGTTTATATTTTGATAAAAATAACCTGGATTGCTTCCTTTTAAAAGGATAAAATCATTATATTGATGACTTGGAATTTTGTTTTCAGAATCTTTGTAATTGCCAACTACAACACACTAAAAGGAAACCAGCCATATGAGGTCCAGACCACATCATCTGTGATATATTACACCACCATGGGTCCCCCTAGTGCCCCTCGCCTAAGGGTCTGTAGTGTAGACCTGTACGAGGTAGGTTATTACTGTTATACAACATTACTACACCATGGGTCCCCCTAGTGCCCCTCGCCTAAGGGTCTGTAGTGAAGACCTGTACGAGGTAGGTTATTACTGTAATACAATATGTACTACACCATGGATCCCCCTAGTGCCCCTCGCCTATGGATCTGTAGTGTAGACCTGTACGAGGTAGGTTATTACTGTTATACAACATTACTACACCATGGGTCCCCCTAGTGCCCCTCGCCTAAGGGTCTGTAGTGAAGACCTGTACGAGGTAGGTTATTACTGTAATACAATATGTACTACACCATGGATCCCCCTAGTGCCCCTCGCCTATGGATCTGTAGTGTAGACCTGTACGAGGTAGGTTATTACTGTTATACAACATTACTACACCATGGGTCCCCCTAGTGCCCCTCGCCTAAGGGTCTGTAGTG